TTGAGACTAAATGGTTCCATAAGAGCCAACTGATCTCAGAGATCTATCATCTCAATATAGAAGTTCTGAATAGATTGATCTCGCTGACGAGCACCCTGAATAGCTGTTTCCAACTCATATCACTTGGCAAAGTTGGACTACTAATAAACACTCTGTAAATAATCTCATATCTCCTTAGCAGTATTGTATTTAGAAAACATCATCCCAATACGGTCATCCACAAACTTATGAAACCATGTCAGAACTTGGGTATTATCACAATTTCAAGATCATAGGAAGTCAGATATCCTTCGTTCTTCAGATCCGATGGACGAGGAACTGAACCAGAAACATAACCTCATTTTTTTGACTAAGAAGAAAATTCTTCATAACACTGACCCAATAAGCATAATTGGAACCAGTGAGTTTACAGCTGATAGCTTGGATTTTGATGTTCGACGTTATAATAAAATAGGGATGGATTAAAGTGTAACAAAGAGAGAATTAATAGGTTAAATATTAATAAGCCGAGAACTGAAGTTTAGGTCTATATTAAACGAATAGCAATACCACGAACACAAAGAGAGACTGTGAGAGATATACACACCAAATCTAGATGGAGCAGACGAAGGAACAGAGAGACCGTGATGATGTATCGACCCAAGAGGGAGATCGAGACCATCGAACCAGAATCAGAGGCCAAATCGTCGTTTGAACAGAACCGAAGAACCACGATGGGTGTTTGAGTATCTGAACTAGAGAGAGAGAGAGAGGGGCGAAAGCCCTTGTGATCAAATCAAAGGCCAACGAACCAGAATTAGAGCCCAAACGAACCAGAATCAGAGACCAAACTTTGCTCGAACAAACTCGACGAACCACGATGGGTGTCGAGTATCTGAACCAGAGAGAGAGAGTTTCGAACAATCAAGACCAGACCTAAGGTTTTGGCTCTAATACTATGTAAGTTTTCTGTATATTCAATTGTATTATAATACAAAGAATACATTTGATTATATAGTAATCCTAACCCTAAGACTAAAAGGGAAAAGAAAACACTGCCATATATATACACAATCTCTTAGAATATATACACAATTACACTACTATATATATAAACCTAACCTAATATTCTCATAATGGTATCAGAGAAGCTGTAGTAGTTGGATATGTATGATGCAACTTACGTGGTATCAACTGCATCAGTTCGGACTTGTCTTCTTGCTGAGGTCGCTCTCTAAGATCAGTCAAGGTGCAAGACCCCTCAAGGAAGTGATGACAAGCACTTTGATGAACCCTCAACCCTAGCCTCCAAGCCACAAACCTCAAATGATCACGTGTGGGGACATGGTTTGCTTGGGTGTCCCATTGGGAAAAGCACTAATCTTGAGGAGGTTCCTAGTCCTTACTCTCGACTTGGGCAAACATGCATTGGTAGCATTAGGATGCTTTTTGTAGTTGAGCCAAGGCAAGGCATAGCAAACGTCTAGGGATTGACGTTTTAGTTCTTTGCATTGTTTCGATTAGCATAGAAACAGAAATGTTTAACAAAATGTTTCAGAAGCGACAAAAGGAATTTGAAAATACATAGAAATGCTAGGAAACGTAAATTGAAATACATTCATGCGTATAAAAGTCTAATAATTGGTTTATTAAAACATATTGAGATTTAATGTTTGTAAAATGCATATTGAGATTTATATAGTCATTCACATAAAAGAGCAAGTGTTAAAAAAATGTTGCTTTGAACAAAAAATTGTTATTGTCAAATAACCGAATTTTGTTAAGCACCCGAGTAAATGTTTCAAAAACTGTGTAAGATCCCAACAAAATAAGGTCCAAAGATTTTACTTCAGAGAGTTGTAATAGCAGTGTTACTGTATTTCTAATAATGATAATTATTAATATAGTAAAATACAACCTTTTATATTTTTTGTAAAAATTATTTATTAAAAATTCTAAATTCATGTCAATGCAAAATATGGTTTTGATATATTGCACTGCACTTTGGTGCATTTTGCTAAGTTACGGTATGCTTAGATGGAAACACTAGACTTTCATAATTCTTATTTCCAGTAGCGCTTCATTTTGAACTTTTAAGAAACAAAAATGTTTTAAGTCATTTCGATGGAAACAAATGGAAATTTGGTTCCTTGAGAATGTCATAGGGCGCACTTGGATGTAGAGTGAGCATACTTAGTAATCTTTGGGGATAAGCATAGGAGGGAACACGCTCTGTTGGAGAGACACTTGACTTAGACAAGGAGGTACTGAACATTGCACCTTTTAGTTTAGTTTGGCTTTATGGTGGATGCTATTTATTGCGGTGTTCATTAGGAAACAAAAGATCCTTTTCCTCCAATTTCCTCTCCTTTAATTTATGGTCTGTAATACGTTGTTTAGGAGCTAAATACGTAATGCAATCCATCAATGATCAAATTGAGAGAGAGAAGACAAATTCGCCAATTAGGGGTGAAACACCCTAGGGTTAGAGAGAGAAACCAAGTTCTACTCTAATCACATTGTATATTCTTTATTCAAAAACTAAGTACAATGGGATATTACATCACCTATATATAGACTACAACTAAAAAGCTATTTAACAAACGCTTAAGTCTATTTATTCTACCCTTTTTAAGAAACTTGTCCTCAAGTTTAAGTAGCAACTAAGTAAACTCAATGTAACACTACTCATGTAACCATAGGTAAGGAATAGGTGTTACATTTCCTTGCTCATGAACAAACATGATTCTCTCAACGTAGTCGTCTACAAATACATTGAACTTCATCCTAACCATAGGTGTGTCCATATCCTCTCGCTACAAAACTCGGATAGATCCCCATTTTCAAACCCCTTCACCTCTAACCTACATACTCATGCATAAGAGTACTCATTTTGTCAGAATGAGACCAATGGTTGGCAAGTGACATCTTTCAAAGCAAAGCTGAGAAGATTGACACCGTGATAGGATAGACGATGCATCCACTAGGCAAAACCATGAGAGTAGCTGATCACGAGTTGGAGTTCGACATTGCACGCATTCTTTCTTTCCTCCCTTGGCACAGATGTGAATTGAGCACACAAGAAGCAACCTACTCAACTCGAAACAACTTCCTAAAGAGATATAAAAGAGTCCTAACGATAAACTTAATATAATTTCTTTGAAGCTATCAAAAATTTCAATGGCGGCTTGCGATGCGACAAGTCGTCCACTCATTTGCTTCAACTCATCTTTTTGATTATGAGTTTGATTTCGATTAACATCATTGCTTCTTCCACTTGAGAAATTCATCTCGGTTTCTTTACCAAAATTCTCAGCATAAGCTCTACCTTGGCCACCGCTTCGACCATGACCCCAATTAGCCATTGACACCAAAGGCAACCCAATCCAGCAAAGCAACACAATTCAACAAGTATGCTAGTTCACAGCATAGTGAAACCACAAAATATGACTACCCAAAGCAAGAAATGAAACTCAGCAGTTAAAAAGAAATTCTAGGTACAATTTGCATATGCAAGATCAAAATCAATGACTAGATTTCTCACAACACCAATCTAGTTCCAATTCAAGAACCAAAGTCAGTACAATCATCTCAAGAACTGAACAGAGTGGTTTCCTTCGTTACTGAAATTGATTTGAAGCAAGAAACTGCAAAAGGGGAAGTCGAATCACTTACCCAACAAGTTGACTTTAGTTAGCCGAGTCCAGGAACAAGCTTCGTTCAACCCAAATTGCTAGATATTCAAGGTCGACTTTGCAGATTGCTAGATCAAGTTGACTTTCAATTGCAAACACTTAGAAGCCCAACTTTGAAGGATCGCAAGTCGAATATTGATCACGAAGTCAGAACCAGATCTTTACTTCAATAGGCTTGACTTGGAATCATTAGAATCTTGATTGCATGTGAGTTCCGGATCTCACCCAATACTTTCTGGTCAATTTCAGATCTTACCCAAGTCTTTTGGATCAATTTTGGATTTTCCTCTGGACGTCGGATTCAAACTTGGAAATTGCATTTTGAATTTCTTTGTTATTCATTTAGATCATGATGGATATTCGAATAAAATCAAGGGCTTCAAACTAGAATACAGGCTTCAATTCAGGTTGCAAAATCTAGGCTTAGAATCGATTGCAAGAAGTCCAACTTTGAAGAATTTGGTTCGATTGAAGAAGTTCCAAGTCGCGAATCTTCAGCGCAGGCTCCATCTTTCAAATCTCAACTAGGAACTTTGAATCGAGTTTAGATCTTGAACAATGATCAAGTTCAAATCTGAATAGGACCTTCAAAACAAGTTCAGATTCGAAAAAGGAACTTGGACATGAGTTTGAATCTCGACTAGGTCTTCAGATCTCAACGATTCAACGATCGTGATCACATAGGGTTTCTGCAAACTCGAAGATTGCAAATCGGCTTCAAACTTTAGAGAGAGATCAGATTGCGAAGGTAATCCCCTGGTTTTCTTTGAACTGGGATTTGAACTCGATTCAAGAACTCGGGTCAAGAGTTACATCACATTTGCAATGAACTCCAGCAACTTCGAATGTGCGATGGGCTTGCGAAGATTGGGTTGTCTCTCGCAGAGTCTGGGTTCACGAAGATTGGGCTCGCAGAATCTGTGTTCCTCTAGGTAATGATTTTACTAGACAATTAGAGGAATAATGAAGGATTAGGATCTAAATCCTTTGCTCTGATACCAAATAATGCAATCCATACGTAAATCAATGATCAAGTTGAGAGAGGAAACAAATGCCCCAATTAGGGGTGAAACCCCTAAAGGGTTAGAGAGAGAAACCAAGTTCTACTCCAATCACAATGTATATTCTTTATTCAAAAACTAAGTAGAATGGGATATTACATCACCTATTTATAGACTACAACTAATAAGCTATTTAACAAACACTTCATCTATTTATTCTACTTCGTCTATTTATTCTACTACATCAATATGAATTATGAAATGATGCAAGACTGAGTTTAGCATAGAGTGTTAAATGTATTTCCTTTTTGCATGTGCTATGCAGTTTTTTGGATTCAAAAACCCATTTGTTCAGAGGTTACTTCGGGAATTGGTGGCAAATGTTGGTGGAACTGCAGAACAGAGTTTCTCGTCATCCAGCTTTGGCAATGGGGATTCTGGAACAAAGAACCACACTCAATGCAAAGAATCATGTACCTACCTTGCAAGAACACCACAGATCAAAGGGAAGAGAAGCAGGAAGCAGAAAACCATAAATTTCAAGACATTTGAAGGCAGCCTTAAAAAACTCCGACCTAAAGATCAGATGCATAATAATGACATTTCGGACTCCAGACAAGGGACTCATTGTTATCTTAATGGTGAGACTTCCATGACTTACTTTGCTTTAAATGAAGAGTTTAATGTTTGTAATAATTCAGGTGCTTTGGCGGCATCAATAAACTTGAAAACTGTAGTTGAGGGAGAAAATAATCCCTTCATAGCCAAAGATGGTTTGCCTTTGGAATCTTCTCACTCTGATCATCTCAAAGAAGTTACTCCCCATAAAGAAAGCAATCTTGTTAGTTCTGAAAACTGTATATCCTCTGGGATTGCTGGCAATTTATCCATCCATGATCAATCTGTAAGCAACTTACCAAAAATTTGTCATTTTTATATACTTGTTTTTATTTATTTATTTTCTTTTGGATGCATGAGACTTGCATTTTTTGTGCGCATGTGTGTGCGTCTATGTTTATGTTTTGCACTTATTTTCAATCTTCCTTCTCCACTTTCCCATATATTTTAGGATCTGCCACAAAATGCTATCTCAGAAAAATACTTTTCAAGGTTGTTTAAAAACTAGCCACTTTGTTAATTTCTGGTAAATTTGTGTATACACAATTGATAATTCTAATAAACAATGGGTCATGTACAAATAAAAAGGAAAAAAGAATTTGTTTAGTAGAAGAAACATTCTTAATTTCCCACAGCTTGATAGGTCAAAACATGCTGAAATGCAAAGGTTCTATTCATCAATGGCGTCAGAAGATAAAGATGGAGAAGCTCCAATTTCAACAGACACCCAAAATGTCAATGATATGGATCTGTATGCACCTGATACTTTGGACCTTCTGCAGGGTATTACTCAATCATATACTGTTTAACTGCAATATTTATACATGTTGATTTTTTTTTACCACTGGTGATCTTTTTTTTTATAAGTGATTGTCTTGTTTTGCAGATAGTACTTCGGATTCTCAACGAGATAGCCTAAAGGAAATTCCTTGCAATGGGAAATGTGAGTTAATTGCTCAAAATGTTGCAGTTTCTGAGGTGCCAGCACCTGATTTGCATCCACAAGAAGAGATGGGCACATTGACTGCAAGTTCTGAGAAGAGTGATTTTGATTCAGTTGGTCAGGAAATAACCAATTCAATGATGACAGTTCTGCTTCCTCGAGCACTTCCACTTCTCAAAACATTCTCAAGGAAGCAAAAAAAAATCATGGACCCTTCAGAAATTTCTCCTTGTAGGGAACAATCCCCGAAGGAAAATAACAAAACTGACCACCATGTGGATGTTGCATCTTCAGGTGAAGTACAACATGCAAGTTATGCAACTTTTTGCAGCCTGTTGCTCATATGTGGCTCGGTTGCTGTACTTTATCTGCATAGCTAAGATTCATTAATGCTTTATTTGGTTCACTGGAGTGAGATGGAATGGAATGGTCATTCCTTAGGCTCTCCTATGGAATGATCATTCCTGTAATGCCCCAAATTTCTACCCCAAATGATAATACAACAATCATGGCTCTTTCAAGGAAAACCGAATATAAATCTCCAAACTTACATTACATGATACAATAGTTTTTCATGCAACAATACATTAATCCAACAAGTAAATAAACAAATAAATACCCCCAAGGGTTTACAAGTTTCCAAGGCTTGAGTTTGGTTACACAAAAACGGTTATTCAAGCCCACACACATACAGCCCTTGGCTTACACATAGAGTCACAGCAAAATGAGAGTCTCGTACTCTCAACACACATTTCCTCGCCTTTAGTTAAGCGGCATCACCACATCTTTTCCTGCACCAAAAATCCCGTAGGGTGAGCATAAATCCCAATAAGAAATTCTTAACAAAATATATACATTTTATATAAGTCTCAAGAGATGAAATGCACATGCCATGCTATGTCCCTTTTTGAAGATAAATCATATTTTCATCTTTTGAAAACCATCATGCTCAATGATGTCATGCAATTTCAATTGTTCAACGCTTAACAGTTTATTTTAAGGGCGGTAAATATGACTCTGGTAATCCCTAGGTCGGTGTCTGCAAGCAGACTATATAAGTACTACCAATTTGTCATTTTTACTGGTATTAATCGGAAGGCTCGACACCTATTCGCGCGGGTTTTCGGTCTTTCACCCCGGACTCTCAGGCCAACTTATTCAATATCATCTACACCACCTATCAAGATTTACCAACGCATTTACCCCAAAATCGTTTCATGAAAACTTGTTTCTTAACATTCTTTTCTCAATGTAAGTTTTCAAATCAACTTTCAAAGTTTAATGTAATCAAATGAATTGTTATGCCAATAACACAACATGAATATAAATACTTTTATTCAAATTCATCATCTAAGGAATAACACAATTCCCTCTTCTCAAGTATGCTCAACAATTAGTCATTTCAAGATTATTTCAACGTTTTGAACAATAATTTCTAAAATAAATAACAATTCTCATATTCCTTGAAATTCATCATTTATATAAATATAAATAAGAAATTTTCCAAACATCCATTTATTTTGACACACAAAATAAATACAACAATATCATTCATGGATTTTCATTATCTTTTAAAAACTTCCCAAATTTTAGGTTTTCTCACCAAAACTATATAACTCAAATCCTTTGAAAGAGAACTTTCCAAAATCATCTTTTCTTCAATCAACGAAAATCAAAACCCATAAGATCATTTTAAAAGAACAAGGGACAAACCTATTTTCAAAATCGCTCAACTTCTTAAATCAACAATCAATTTTCAAAGCTATCGAAAGATGATTTCAAAAATCATATAGATCTTGCAAAAACATATATATAACTCTAAGAAAATCCCTACCTCAAGTTTTGAAGAAGAAATGAGATGAAACCAAAATCAACGGTGTCGAAACTCGATCTTCACCGCACACAACGAAGCCCTCGAGATGATAACCCACTTTGATGAAGAAGCAATGGCAAAACTCAAATGGATCTTAAGAAATCAAGCTTTTTGATCTAGTTTGTGTAGAGAAATGTAGAGAGAAGGGAGAGGAAATATTTTTTAGAGAGAGAAGAGAGATATACAAAAGCCATGTGAAATATCAGATTCACGAACTGATATAACATGGTCGGCTCAAGCGTGGAATGCCCCGCTCGAGCGTCAAATACACTTTTCCAGTACTTTTGCAGATGGGTCAAACTTCTGAAACCAAACATTCTCCACTCGAGCACATAAACGGCCGCTTGAGCGGACAAGCAACTTCGAATGCATTTTGTATTTTTTGCTTTGGGGACGCTGCCCCTCGACCTCGCCAGGGCGCTGCCCTCGGACCCGCCAAGGGGCGCTGCCCCCTGGACCCCCACGAGCTGACCGGGTAGCTCGATCCCCGACCTGCCCAGTCGAAGTGGCAAACCGTAGGGTGAGCATAAAGCCCAGTAGGAAATCCATAACAAAGTATATTATACAAGTCTCAAGAGATGAAATGCACATGCCATGCAATGTCCCTTTTTGAAGATAAATCACATTTTCATCTTTTGAAAACCATCATGCTCAATGATGTCATGCAATTTCAATTGTTTAACGCTTAACAGTTTATTTTAAGGGTGGTAAATATGACTCTGGTAATCCCTAGGTCGGTGTCTGCAAGCAGACTATACAAGTACTACCAATTTGTTATTTTTACTGGTATTAACCGGAAGGCTCGACACCTATCCGCGCGGGTTTTCGGTCTTTCACCCCGGACTCTCAGGCCAACTTATTCAATATCATCTACACCACTTATCAAGACTTACCAACGCATTTACCCCAAAATCATTTCATGAAAACTTGTTTCTTAACATTCTTTTCTCAATGTAAGTTTTCAAATCAACTTTCAAAGTTTAATGTAATCAAATGAATTGTTATGCCAATAACACAAGATGAATATAAATACTTTTATTCCAATTCATCATCTAAGGAATAACACAATTCCCTCTTCTCTAGTATGCTCAACAATTAGTCATTTCAAGACTATTTCAACGTTTTGAACAATAATTTCTAAAATGAACAACAATTCTCATATTCCTTGAAATTCATCATTTATATAAATATAAATAAGAAATTTTCCAAACATCCATTTATTTTGACACACAAAATAAATACAACAATATCATTCATGGATTTTCAGTATCTTTTAAAAACTTCCCAAATTTTAGGTTTTTTCACCAAAACTATACAACTCCAATCCTTTGAAAGAAAACTTTTCAGAATCATCTTTTTTTCAATCAACGAAAATCAAAACCCATAAGATCATTTTAAAAGAACAAGAGACAAACCCATTTTCAAAATCGCTCAACTTCTTGAATCAACAATCAATTTTGAAAGCTATCGAAAGATGATTTCGAAAATCATATAGATCTTGCAAAAACATATATATAACTCTAAGAAAATTCCTACCTCAAGTTTTGAAGAAGAAATGAGATGAAACCTCCAAAATCAACGGTGTCGAAACTAGATCTTCATCGCACACAACAAAATCCTCGAGAAGTTAACCAACTTTCATGAAGAACCTATGGCAAAACTCTAGTAAATCTTGAGAAATCAAGGTTTTGATCCAATTTGGCGTAGGGAAATGTAGAGAGAAGGGAGAGGAAAGAGTTTTTAAAGAGAGATATACAAAAGTGATCTGAAATATCAGATTCACAAACTGATATAACATGGTCCGCTTGAGCGTGGGAAACCCCGCTCGAGCGTCAAATACACTTTCCCAGTACTTTTGCAGATGGGTCAAACTTCTGAAACCAAACATTCTCCACTCGAGCACATAAACGGCCGCTTGAGCGGACAAGCAACTTCGAATGCATTTTGTATTTTTTGCTTTGGGGATGCTGCCCCTCGACCTCGCCAGGGCGCTGCCCTCGGACCCGCCAAGGGGTGCTGCCCCCTGGACCCCCACAAGCTGACCGGGTAGCTCGATCTCCGACCTGCCCAGTCGAAGTGGCAAAACATGAAAGAATGATCGAAACCGGGATCGCTACAATTCCCTTACAATGGTGAATGATGATTCTATTTGCAATGTATTTTTTATTTTATTTTTAGTCAACCAAATATGAGAATGGATATTTTGATGGAATAATCATTTCCATTCTATTCCATTCCGGTGAACCAAACACTACCAAGTGTAATTGAGATGTCCTTTTTCTTATAATTGCATTACAAATTCTTTTTTTATTTATTTTATTTTTTATATTAAACATGCTACAGAAGCGCATACTCAGAGTCCCCTTTTAGGCCAGCAGGAAAACAAGAAGATGCATATCTTGAAAACGGATCCTGGTTCAGTTGTCCCAAGTTCTGGACAAAATGCACCTGTTGATCCTGATAATAGTGTCAATAGTGATCAATCCGGTCCTGATGTTGCTGAAGCTGGTTTAACAACCATGGGTGAAAGCAAAACTAGATCTGACACTTTGGGGTTGCCTGTTGGTGTTGATGCATCAGTTCAGCCATCAATTTGTCAAGTTGGTAGCAGTGACAACAAAAATATTTGCTCTTACAATAAAGGACCTGTGGCCTTGATTGCATGTAATGAGGATATTTGTGGACATTCAGATGAAAAATTTATGCGCCTTGAAATCCATTCCAAGGAAAAGGACCACAATGCGTCACCTAATTATTCTAAAGGTACTATTTTAGAGCCATTTTTTTCTTTTTTTGTTTTCAATTACTTCCACTGTTTAAACTAATAACAATTGTAAACTAATTATTTTGAATTTTGCAACAGCATATCTGAGAAACTTTCATCTGTCAAAGTAGGGTAGGTGTAGAAATTTTTCATAAAGAGGGATATTCTTGTGTCCTAGGTGCAGAGAAACCACACCATCTCTTTCATGTAAAACCTGATTGATTTAGATCAGGAAAATTGTGCGGTTTTATGAAACCATGTGCTTCTATGGCTTGAATTCGCAGTCAATCCTAATTTACCACTTTTTTTATTTTTATTTTTATATTACTTGTTCAATATTGCCTGATAAACCATTCCAAAGATTTTAAGTTTTCTAGTCCATACTCCATAGCCATTCAGATCAAGTCATATCCTGATTCCATTAATGCTTCTACAACCATAGGTACAATTGATGACAACTCAACAACCATGGCGAGCTTTATTCAAGCATCAGATAAGGAAATCAGTCTTAATAACAGGGTAGCTGGTGCTGGCAATACTTCCTTTACTCAAATCCAAAATAAAGCTACTTCAACAAGAAAACACAATGGTCCTCTCACAGAAAGTATAATTTTCAGAAGCTTTACTGATGGTGATGCCCCTGCCTCCGACACGTATACTGCCACAAACTTTTTTCTTGCCTCAGAGATTCAATCTGCTAGCTCCTCCAATCATCGCCCACATAAAAGTGTTTCATCTGGTGTTGATGCCAGACTAGAAAGATGGCCCCACAGTTTGCACCCACAGAAAAATACCAAAATTGCTAATGGTGTACTTCATAATGTGGTTATGGTTTTGCCACAAAACCAAGCATTTGTTTGTCCCTCAAATATCAATGACAATTTGGATTCTCTTGATCCATCTGCTTCATGCATAGGAAAATCTAATGCCCTTGTTGACGAGGATCTGCAGAGGAACCAAAATCTTGTTGATATAAGCAATTCTGTATCATGGTTGCAAAAACAGGGTACGAGTTTCTGTGTGAATCATGGGGAAGTTGCAGATGATTCAATCTTAAAGCCTCTGATGAGCATGGGGCATATTGACAAACCAGAGAGAATTGTTGAGTTTGTGGGATGTTATGTACACCCCTTGCCAATTTCATTAGTGTTATTGAGCAAAATAGAGAATGAAATCTATCTTTGTGTTCTATGTGGTATTCTTGTTGATAAGAGTGGAATCTTGTTTATGTACAAGGTATCATTACAAGAACAAAGGGTAGGATGCCCTTCTTTCATTGGTCACACGCCAATCCTGTTGCCAACTTCAAGAGATGCGTTTGGTAGAGAAGTAAGTTGTTATATGCAAAACTTGCAGGCGTTCATAGTATTTTTCCATTCCTTGGCATAACAGTAATTAATGTGACACTTGTTTTCCTTTACTAGATTGCACTGGACAGATCTGGTTTGCAAGTCACTCCGGATGGGCAGTGTCTTGTTTTACTGGAAAGTGTGAAAGCTCCTTATTGCAGGTGGATTCCTTTTGTTGTGTGCAATGTTATGCACATTTTTTGCATGAAATCATCAATGATTGGAGCATTAATTTCTGATCCATGTTTTAGGGAAGGTAAAATGCAGTGTCCATGCTCCGCTTGTAGATCAGATTGCTTTAAAAGCAATGTGGTAAAGGTCGTGCAAGTAAAGCATGGCTATGTTTCAGTTGTGGTGAAGTTAAAGGCAGTTGACAATGTTCATTGTATATTAGTTTGTGAACCTAACTGTCTTATCGGCGTTGAAGAGAGTGGGAGATTGCATCTATGGGTCATGAACTCAACATGGAGGTAATGACTTCATTTTTTATTTTCTCTTCAGGTCATGGGTTTTTGACATTTGGTTGTACTTCCTGTTTGTTCTTGGAACCATTGCTATTCTTTTGTTTTTGTTTGTTGAGGTTCTTTTTCTTCTAAAAAATAATAAAATTACTTTATTGTTGCTTCTTTGTATATCTGGCACAAATTGTATATTAATTACCTCATGTGCTTCTCGAAGGGTGTGTGTGTTTGTGTGTGTTGATTCTTAACTCATAGGGATTAGGATGATGGCAGCTTAATGAAGTTAATTCAAGGGAATACATGATTTGATTGGAGCACTGTTAAACCTGAATTTTTAGACAGCTAATTAATTTACTTAAAATAATGTTAAGTCACTTTAATAGTGGTAATTCAATTATTAAATTCTAATAGTAGTAGCGCCATGGTTAGTAGTAATCTTAAACTCTTTTAGATTAATTTCTTCTGTGTTAATTTTCTATATCCTAATTAAAGTTGTGAAATCTAAATAAACTAAATAAATAGTAACTAAGTTAGTTAGAGTTTAATTAGGAAGAGACCATCTAGTTAGTAGATTATATATAGACACTAATATTATATTAATTTTAAATTGCAAGTCAACTCTATTATGTTTGTTTGGCTTCATAGGATGGAGGGGATTAAGAGTGCGGTGGGATTGAATAAGGAGATTATTAGTGTGGTGGTATTACGTTGGAAATGTAGGATAAAGAGTGTTTGTTTGTATACCACCGGATTAGTAATACTGTAGATAGCATTAATATATAAAATTAATATATTTTAATTTTTAGTATTTTTTTTTAATATTATAATTATTTTTTTTCTTTGGTTCTAAAAAATATAAATTTTGCATAAAAATTATTTAAAAATTCACTAATCCCCCTCACTCAATTTCTAATCCCAACCCCACCATGGGATTGATAGTCCTACCAATAGGGGGGATTATTAGTCCAAGGGGACAGTTAATCCTCCCACTCATGACCCCAATTAAACACTCTATAGGTAGGTTCCACGGACTAGTAGTCCAATCCCCCTCACCAAAGAGCCAAACAAACATGGTATAAGGGAAAATGGAGAAAGTATGGCCGGCTGCCCCCTTCCCTAGGGCTTCTTGGGCTTGCCTTGAGCATGGACATGGTGAAAGACCCGTGTCATACACTCTGTCTTCTAGTGGCCGTTTTGTGTGAGCATGGGGTGACTAAATAGGCCACCAAGGCTTAGAAGAAAATTAAAACGGCCACTAGAAGAGATAGAGTGTATGACATGGGTCTTTCACCATGTGCATGCTCAAGGCAAGCCGTCTACTCCCCAATTTTCACACACATGGCAGAAAAGAAAAGAAAATGAAGGAGAGAAGAGGCAAGAAAGGAAGAGAGGAGGAGAAGAAGGAGGTCTCAAACTCATAGCATTTTTTTTTCCTTAAAGATTCTTGAGGTAGGAATCATCTATCTCTTCTCATCCTTAGTAGTTATATTTGATATTTATATGTTTTAAATTAGTTTATGTGTTGAAAGTATGAGGATAATGGGCTGAAATGAAATAATCCCTTGCATGTTCATCCATTAACTTGAAAATGTGAATACATGGCATTTTATCATCCATTTCTTCTTTGCATGCATCCACATGTTGTATTTGCTTCTAATTTAGTTTATAGATATGCTAGATTTCGTCTTTTTTTACATTCTTGACTCATCTTGCATGTGGTTAGGAACAAAGATGCTGACTTCCCTTGCTTAAATAATAAATTTCCAGAACTGTTTTGGCTTTTATTCAACTTGTAAAGTTTCGATAAATTTTAGAAAACCTCTTTTAAAATCTGAATCTATTGGAGGTTGATTACTAAATATAGTACATGTATGGATTTTTATAAAATCATCGGAGGGTATTTTACACCCGAAATAGCCATTCTTCCCAGCTGCTGCATTCGACACAGCAGCAACGGTCACTTCAAACATGTGCCATTTTCTCCACAAAATGTATTTTCATGCAAGACCAATTGGGATAGTTAGATGTACGAGTTATCTTTCATTTGCCACTGATTTCATTAAAAACCAGTACATATTGAGAGAGAAATGACCATTTTACTAATCTGTGACAGATTCTGTCCTATTTTCTTTGAAATTTTTTTGCTCATATTTACAGAAGCTTTTGGTCTTTAATTTCTTCTAGAAAATGTTCCTAACTTGTTTATCTAACAAATGGTTCTGATCTTGCCACTGTTTGGCATCGTTTTATGCCTCTTTTTATTTTTGCAATCCAAACTACCTGCACTGGAAATAGCAGAATCTGTTTTAAAAGTGTACCAAGTATGGAGTCTTTTTCATTTTCACCCTAGTTTCCTCACAATCACTTGTCTGCCCTCACGTATTATGATTTTAACATCAATTAAGATTATATTTTAAGTGGTTATTCCCGATACATGTGTGGTTTGCCTTGTTTTTTGTTCGTCTTTGTTTTTCATTACTTGTGGAAAGTTTCCTTCATTGAAATCTTGTGAAGATATGAATGTGTCTAACCAGAGTTGAACCGGGTGGTATGGGGTATGCACAAGACATGGTAATGAGGATATGAAAGTTGCATGTATTGCTAGATGTTCAGGGTGCACCCCGGTGCTATTGTGTGAATTGGATTTTGAACCCTAAAACGTCACCAGAAGTAATTCTGGCTCCTTAACGGATTTGGTTTTGGCGTGAAGGTGATGGTGAGGGTCTTACACAGGGAGAGAATCCCTGGAAGGTCATTCCCTTGGGGTAGACCAACGATGTTACAAATTTGAGTACGTAATTCGAGACATAGGCATCCTTGGTGTTTATCGGTGTGTTTTAATGTACATATTCCGGGTCCAGTACTAATGGTTGGGTAAGTACGACGCTCCATGGGGAGTTGCTTAGAACTAACTTAGATAATAGAACGCTAGAGAGATTTGAACTTACTAGTTGTTTCTTATTGATTGTTGCTTCTGCAATTTATTGTTATTATGCTTATCGTTATATTACTCGTATTCTTGTTCATTCTTATTTTTTATCATTCATTTATGAAATTGCTTGTATCTATGAGTTCTTGTACTACATTAGGGTGGGTAGTGTTGGGTAGGTTGTTCCTACTGGGCCTCGTAGCTCATTGCTTCTTATGCCAGTTACTGAGCCAAACGAAGGAGCTGACGAGGATTAAGAAGAATGAAATAATGGAATAGCTTACCTTGAGTGAGGCAAGACAATGTGTATATATATTGAATCAATGTACAAAATAGGAAATAAAATAAACAAGGCATTAAATTCACGATTTGTGCAATCACGAATTTTATACATACTACCATAAATACAATATTCTGAATCTCTAATTTCAACACTCCCCCTCAAGCTGGTGTGAAGACATTCAACAAATGTAGCTTGGCAATAGACAACTGGAGTAATGTTGGACCCATAGATTTTGTGAACATGTCAGCTAACTGCTCAGAAGAAGAGACAAATAAGGGACTCACAATACCAGTCTGTATCTTTTCTCTAATGAAATGTATATCAACCTCAATGTGTTTAGTACGCTTATGAAGTACTGAATCAGAGGATAGCATAATTGTTGCTTTGTTGTCACAAAGCAAAGAGGAAGGTGTAACCTCTCAAAACCCAACTTTGCAAGAATAGATCGAAGCCATAGAATCTCATATGTACCCTGTGCCATAGCCTGATGCTCAGCCTTTGCAAAAGATCTAGAAACAACTGCTTGTTTCTTACTTTTTCATGATATAAGACGATCATCATAGAAAGTACAGAAACCAGAAGTGGAACCCCGATCAGTTCTAGATCCTGCATAGTCAGCATCAGTGAAACATGAGGGTCCAGCTTGAGAACCAACTGTGAAGAATAGTCCTAAACTAGGAGAAGTCTTCAGATATCGCAAAATGTAGTGTACAATGTCAAGATGCTCTGTATGAGGTGCATGTATGAATTGACTCACAACACTAACCGTGAATGTCAAGTTAGGTCTAGTGTTGGTCAAATAAATGAGACGGCCAACAAGACGCTAATACATGCCTGAGTCGTCTAATAGCTCGCTAGACTCTAATGTAAGCTTGATATTGGGATCCATAGGGGTTGAGACATGTTTGCAACCCAACATACTAGTATCCTGAAGCAAATCAAGAGTATACTTTCTCCGAGACAAAGAAATCCCCTGACGAGAGCGAGCAACCTCAATCCTTAGAAAGTATTTGGGAGACCCCAAATCCTTGATATCAAATACTCTGCTCAACTCCCTTTTTACCTGATCGATGCCGATGTAGTCATCGCCGGTGAGTATGATATCATCTACATGGACAAGCAAAACTATACACTGACCTACAGAATTGTGACGGATGAGGCAAGTATGATCTGAATGACACTGAACGAACTCCATGGATAAGATGACTTAGTTGAAGCGATCAAATCATGCTCTGGGAGATTGTTTTAGACCATATAAAGACTTGCGTAAACAACAAACCTTCCTCCAAAACTCCCTCTCAACTCGGAAACCGGGTGGAGGAGCCATGTAAATCGTCTTAAGAAGATCCCCATGAAGAAATGCATTCTTGACATCAAGCTGATGAAGAGGTCAAGAATGAGAAGCTGCCAGAGAGATAAGGAGATGGACAAAAGTAAGCTTGGCAACAGGTACAAAAGTTGTCCCAAAGTTCTTGTTAGGAACCTGTGTGAAGCCTTGAGCTACCAGTTGTGCTTTGTAGCGGTCAACAGAGCCATCGGCCAAATACTTAATTGTGAACACCCATTTGTAGCCAACAATGCTCTCCTTAGATGGTAAAGAAACAAGATCCCAAGTGTGATTCTGTTCTAAAGATGCCATCTCAGCTTGCATAGCTGCTATCTATTTTGGATTCTGAAGGGCCTCTGACACAGAACGAGGAATAGTATCCAACTCAAGCTTTCCAAGGAAAGACCGATATGAATTTGAAACTCTGTCATAAGAAAGATATTGGGAAACGGAATGGTTAGTACTACTTAAATAACCCTAACGGTTTGGAGGATGTCGATCTTGAGGTGGGTTACGAGGAGAGGTGGAGGGGCCGTATCTAAAGGAGAAGAATTACCTGACCTAAGGATTGGAGAGGCGACAGAGGGTAGCTGAGAGCGAGGGTGATGAGAGTATACTTGCAACGGCGGGGGCGAGAGGGGTAAGGGTAGAGAATGAGAAGGGGAAACAACCTCTTCGTAACCTTGTCCAAAATAGGAACCGACAGGGCACTGGAAGCAACTAGAGGGGAACCCTACAAAGAGGGGTTAGTACCAAAAATGGAAGATCTTCACAAAAAGTAACAACCAAAGTGTGGTGAAAGTGACGAGACACAGGATCAAAACACTTGTACCCTTTGGACATGGAGGAATACCCTAAGAAAACACAACGTATAGACTTGCCATCTAACTTAGTGCGAGTGGGACTCCGATCTTGGACAAAACAGGTACACCCAAAGACATGTGATAGGAGAGGAAATAGAGTGGTGTGAGGCATAAGAACATGGAATGGAGTAAGACCATGCAAAACACGACTAGGGGTTCGATTGATAAGATAAACAGCAGTAAGGACAACCATATGCCAATATGACTTGAGAACACTCATACCATCAAGGAGACCGCACAATAGACATAATATGATGGTTTTTACGTTTAGCTACAACATTTTGCTCAGGGGTACGAGGGTATGAGGGCATGAAGTTGAAGAATATCGGTTTGATTAAGATGGGAACGAAATTCATTTGAAATGTATTCCCCAACCATTATCAGAACAGATATTCCGAACAACTGTATGATATTGAGTCTTAACCATTGGTAAAAATTGAACAAAAATCGAACTGAAATTTTCGCGCATGCTTCCCACGGTGGGTTTCCATTTCTTGAGTGGAGTACTTGCTTGTGTGCCACTTTTTACCTGAAATTGCACGTTCACCAAACCTGCACACGTAGACGAAATGTATCATCTCTGCCAAATAACCGTGCTTCAAGGGCTATAAATGTAACTTAAGTGGCCTCATTGTGGTACCTTTCGACCCACATCACCAATCTTCATTAGCTTAATTAATCCTACTTAACTTTTGCTAATCTCTCTTAATTTTTAATTAAGTATTCATTAAACTCTTCTTGTTAGACTAAGATCATTAAGTTCCTCACTTATGGTCCTTGAATCATCGAAGTGTTCAGTATTCAAGTTCAAGATGAATTCCCTAATCTTTGATACTAACTAAATCTCATGTCAAAGTTCCATGTTCAAATTCTTCTAAGCTCCTTAGGTTCTCTATCAAGCACAAACATTCCTAAGTTTTCTAACTAATGTATTCATCTTCCAAGTTGTTATCCTAACAATTCATATTTTATCTCTAGAACATTGTAAGGTAATTAAATAAGGTATTTGTAAAATGAGATAGTCAATGGAATAGTTAATTTGACCTAAGGTATTCAAAGATGGATAATGATATAGGTATAGTACGTGGCTTTCTTTGGGGTGTCACATTTCTGAGCCGTGGTTGACCTAGAGCCATCCAAGCCCCTTGCTAGTCCTTTCCTTGTTTTTCAACTTCTCTTCTTAAATTTAGTACGAACAAGTGTCGTAACCAGATAATCTCGAAGTTTAAATTTGTTTGTGGTGTACTATTGAATCTCTAATGGTTAAGGTTTAATTATGTCCGGAGACTTCTTTTCATATAAAAAGTTGAAGTTGAGGTGGTATTACTTTATCCTCGAGAAATTTGGGAAGTCACAAGCACATTTCAGTAGAGCTATTTTTGAGACTTGATAGTTCCTACTATAGTATTTCCGCAAGTTAGTTAATTTTAATCAATTCTTCTGTTTTTTCTGTCTTAATATTTTCTTTTTTCATTATCAAGTATGATTCGGAAATGCTTTGACTGGATTTTAGTTCATTGGTCACAGTGCACAGGTGGAGGAATGTGATTTATCAACTGCTGACTGCATATTTCCTTGCATAGTGGAGTTGAAGAGAATTCCTAACTGTTCTGCTCTTGTTGTTGGTCATAATGGCTTCGGGGAATTTAGTTTATGGTATGCGCTTTTTTATGTTGTAATTCCTATGTCATTTTATTTCATCTACACATAAATATCGTCATTCATATTCATTTCTGTCCAAGGGTCTTTCAAAATCACTGTAAAATTGGAAGGTTTATGAATCATTGACACTGCAGAAACCTTACCTTTTCAAATCTCTTTTCAATGTTTCACAATTACAATATTACTGAATACAATTACAAAATTTAGTTATTTACATTGTTTCCTTCCCTTCCTGCTGGATATATTAAATTTCGTTAACTCTATTATCTTGATCTGTATACTAAAATAATTATATAACTTTTAGAACATCAAAATCTTCCATATAATTTCTTAATATTTTAATCTTCTTTTGTCCCACTCAAGTTGCTGAAGTTATTTTTTAAATAAATATTAAGTTACAAACTATTTAAATTTCAAGTTTGGCCTCATATTGGTCTTCACCGAATACAAGATTCTGAAACTTTAATATCATCATATACTGTAATTTTGCCCAAGGAAATGAAATGTAATTTAGCTTTGAAAGATTCAGAAACATTTCTCCTCTCTAGTTGTAAATCTGGAATTATTTTGATTTCCACCATAGTCAAAATCCTGTTGTTTTTGTTACTAGTTGTATAGGAACATGATTTATATGAATATCCCTTAATTTCAAAAAAATAAAAATAAAAAAAGATCTTTTGAACATCTTTTCAACATTTGAGTTCATCATCATAGCAGCTTATCCTAGAAGTTTTTATTTAGTCCATGGGGAAGAAATAGATTAGTGCTGAATTTTATTTTGGTCATACAATAAACCTCTCTCAACTATGACCCGTTTTTTAGTTACTCCTTAATGTTTTAAAGATGACAGTTAATGTATATGAATTAAAAAAGTCATTAACACCATTAAACAGAAAATATCAATTTACTTTTTTATCCTTCAATTGGTAACCTTATAATTGTCTTCCTCAACCCCACCCAATCAAATCAATCCCAAATCCTAATCAAATCAAATTAACCCAAAATTCATCTATCCCCCAAAGCAACATACAGAACCATAAACCCTCATTCCATTTATCAATCTGTTCATCTTTAGGGAGATCAACAAACAACAACATTTTAGTATTTACCAAAGCAAACCGACACCCTTTATCAATAGATTGAACATCTCTCTCTCTCTCTCTCTCTCTCTCTCTCAATGAAACTTCATCAGTTCAGTGAAGGATCACCAACAAATCATCTCCTCTCGAACATCAAGAATTAATCCATCAAGCTCAAATTTGTCGTCGTCACCATCTTCAAAGATCTCAGTGGCCTATATGAAGGGGGCTGTGGTGGCATAGACCACCTGTAGTGGTGAATGTGATGGAGGAAGGAGTGGAGTTGGAGGCAATTGGTGGGCGGTGCTGGAGATAGTGGTGGTGTTATGGCTGATGGGTTCTAGCTAGATGTCTAAACTCAAGGTTTTAAAATGATGTGTGTGTGTGTGTGTGAGAGAGAGAGAGAGAGAGAGTATAGGTAGTAATAGGGTTTGATCAAAATTGAATCAACGCTTCACATCAACCCTTTATTTATAAGAAACTAAAGTCTTACATTATGACACGAATACCCCTCATTACATAAATAATAACACAACTATTCTAACACTCCCCCTCAAGCTGGAGCATAGATATTGAACATGCCCAGCTTGGCAGAAAGACATTGGAAAGCAGGTCGGGCTATTGGTTTAGTAAGAATATCACCTAGTTGTTCGTCGGACCTAACATATGGAGTCACAAGCTGTTTCCGAAGTAATAAATCCCGAATAAAGTGCTCTCCAAGCTCTCTTCTTTTCCGCTTCTTAGTCAAAGATGGTGTTCTAGGTTGATCTCTCCAAGCTCTCTTCTTTTCTCCTTATTTCTCTTATCTTCTTGTTCTTTCTCCTTTCTTCTAGCTTATTCTTGATTCCTACAGATTTTCTTCTCTTCTTGACTTGGTTTTATCTAGTTAGGCAAGACAAGGGTTGTATGAGACAAAAGATAAGGTGCTTTTTGCTTCACCTAGGTGTATGCTTCACCAATTTTCCTTAATCTCCATCATTAGTTTAATTAATCAATCTTAGTTACAATTAATCAAGGTTAGACTTCTAATTAATGAAGGTTTAACTTAATCTAACTTAGCTTAATTAATCATGATTAAGCTTAATTAATCCTACTTAATTAACACTAATCCCATTTAGCAAACTGACATATAGTATTAAAATGATGAGCACATCAGTCTAGGATCTTTATGCTCCTCAGTTAGTGCATAAGCACATTCTAGCATTCACAAATCTTAGACCTAAGGTGTCCTCTAACTTTTAGTAATATTCAAGTATTTCTTTCCTCAAGTTTGTTTCATTAAGGCATATGCCTCATCTCTAAGTTCTTGCTAATTGTATTCATCTTCTAAAGTTTCGTCTTATCATTTCATAGTTCTATCTCTAGGATATTGTAAGGTAATTTAATTAAGGTGGGTATTTGGGTATTTGGTCATGTCATGTAACAATGCTTTTGATATGATACACACTTGCTCAACATGTTCAAGAGGTGACTAGTTTTTAAGTCTTAACAATTGATAGTAAGATTCACATGCTCAAAGTTTCCTAGGTACTCATTTCTAAGCTTCACTTCAAGTATTTTGTGTGATGAGATAGTTATAGCACATGGCATTGTTTGGGGTGTAACAACAACATGACTAAATCACTCAAACCAAAAACAAGGAGATTGCTTCAATCTATACAAAGCTTTCCGGAAACAACAAACAAGGTGCTCAGAACCAAGAGTTTGGTACATATATACCTCCTTCTGCAAATCACCATGGAGAAATGCATTTTTTATGTCAAGCTGATATAAGGGCCGAGAACAACTAACAGCAACAGAAAGAAGGATCCGCATTGATTAAGACAAGCCATAGGGGAAATGGTTTCAAGATAGTGAATACCATAAGTTTGGGTGTAGCTTTTTGCAACCGAACGGGCCTTAAGGCATTCAACTGAACCATCAGGGAGATACTTGACAGTGTAAATCCAACGATACCCAATAGTAGGCCTCCCAGAGGGAAGAGTAGTGAGCTCCCATCTCTAATTCTGGTGGAGAGCACTTGTCTCCTTACCTATAGCATGTTTCCAACCGTAGCTAGACAAGGTCTGTTGATAAGAAGTGGGAATAGACAAATAAGACAAACTACAAGCAAAAGAAAGGAAAATAGGAGAAACACAAGAATAGGAAGCAAACTTGGAAATAGGATGTTGAGTGCAAGTATGTTTGCCATCACGGAAAGCAATTGGCAAATCAGTAGAGGCCGGAGGAGAAGAGGGGATAGGAACCTCAGACGGAGAAGATGTACTAGCCAAGCCATAAGCAACAACATGTCGAGTGTGAGATCTTTGATAGACCTGCAATAGGGAAGACGAAGAAGATGACATATCTAGTAATGGAAGAGGAGGTGTAGGAGTATAAGAGAAGAACACATTAGGCATAGGGAGAGTAGGTGTAGGAGTGGAAGAGGGAAAGGAAGGCTCCTCCTCATGACAAGAGATAAGATCAGGAGATAGGTATTGGCCTTGGGAAGAGAAGAACGAGGTGGAGTAAAGAAAGGTGACATCAATGATAACCCTTTTGTGTATGAGAATAACCTAAAAAAACACACTTTCAATCACATTGTAACAACTTATCCTGACCAGATTCAAGAAAATGAGCAAAGGCTACACAACCAAAAACTCGAGGAGTAAAGAGGGAATGGAGAACAGGAAGGATATAATAGTGAAAACAAAGACTAATTATACAACACAACCGAGGGCATACAATTAATAAGGGAACATGTCGTGAGGATAACATCACCCCAGAAGTGTTTAGGCACCTGCATGTTAAATAATAAGGTTCGAGCAACATCTAACGCATGACAGTGTGCCATTCAACAACCCTATTTTGCTGAGAAGTGTGAGTAGTCTGATGAACAATACCCTGATCAACACAAAAGGAATTAACAACGGACTGAGTATATTCTAAGGCATTATCAGAACGAAACACTTTAATACGCTTACCAAACTGAGTATAAATTTCATTAGAAAACTGATTTAATATATCAGGTAACTCAGATCGCTGTTTCATTAAAAATAACCAAGTCATCCGAGAGAAATAGTGGCCCTTAAAACAAGAAACGAAGGTAGGCAGGAGCTATCAGAATCCAAATAATACATGTCGTGCTGCTCATGCCCTGAACCAATCATCCTCTTGGTCTTGAGGTCTTGCAAAAGACAAGAAGTTGGAGAAAAGGTTATAGAACAATGAAGAGATTTAGTCAATTGGCTAACGGACAATAAATGAAATGAAATGAAAAATGAGGGACATATAAACTAGTGGGTAAAGATAAAGTGAGTGGAATAAAGGGTATCCATTCCACTGACAGGCCAGGAGGACCCATCAGCAAGAACAATATTGTGGGTAACAGGTTGTAAACTCTAAGAAAGTGATGAATTACCGGTGATGTGGGAAGTAATGCCGGAATCTAGGGGCAAATGTTGGCTAGACTGAGCCATACATGCTTTATTACCTGAACTCGCCAGGGTGGCAATAGAGGATGGAAAAGCCGATCGAAGAAGAGAAGTAAGCTCATTAATCCAAGTAGTGAGTGCCTCGTGAGAATCAGAAGAAGGAGCTACAGAGCTAGAGGTGGTCAGAGTAGAGGTAGCAACATTAGTAACTTGATGTAGATGATCAGGCTTGCCATACTTTTGCCAACACCAAGGCTCAATATGACCAGTGGAACCACAATAATCACACTTCCGGTCACCATGAGAAGTAGAACCATGACCACTACAAGAACCACCACAGGAGCCATGATAAGAACCACCACCACGAGAACTATGACCACAAGAACAAAGGTTTCCATGAGACCCACTGGGAGTGGTACCACTACCAGGAACCAAAGCAGAGGAAGAGCCCATAGAAGAAGTGGAGCTAGAGATACTAGAACTGTGGCCTAATGAAGAATGTAATAAGCTTGAATATGCATTGGCAACTGAAGGTAAAGTCGCACTGGCTAAAATCTGATCGTGAAAGCCACGCAAATCAGAATCTAAACTAGTAAGCAAGCAAGCAATCATAAACTCCTTCCAATGTTACTTTTGTTGGGCCAATTCCATTGTGAAAAGGCGATGCTGCAACAAGTGATCCCACAAATGCTTAAGACTACTGTAATAAAGGTTCTGAAAAGCGGTTGCGGTCTCCGTAACGGTGGCGGTGGCGCAGTTGAGATTGCGGGGTGTAAAGGCCGTAGTGTAACGGTTGCGGTAATCGGAACCGTGAATTTTTTTATTTTTCACACAATTTGAAAAAAACTTACCGATACGCAAATAGAATAACATAGGTCTTACAGCTTCAACAAATCAGTAACATGTTCTTCATCTTCCCTCTTCTCTCTCTATCCCTCTTCCCCCATTTTCAGTTTTTTTTTTTGTGTGTTTTTTCGAAAGAAGAGTTCGGAACCGTTACGTAACGGTGTGCAACAGGCCGTTACGGCTGTTACAGCACTGTTACAATCGCTACGATAGCTGCTACAACCGACACACCTGTGAATCTCAATCACACTGCAAAAGCGGCCGTAACGGGTGGCGGTAACCACCACAACCTTTACGTAACGGTGTTACGTAACGGTTGCGGCCGCTTTTTAAAACCTTGACTGTAATACTCAGAGAGTGGGCGACCAAACTGTTTAGTTGCAAAATTCTGCTCATGCAGAGTATAAATGCGAGAGACATTGCTATGATTTGAAAAAGAATCAGCAAGAGAGCCCCAAATTTGCTTAGACGCCTCACAAAACTCAACAATGGTAGCAACATAGGATTCCAGGCTATGCCAAAGACAACATGTTAGAATAGTCGTGGGTTATTTAAATTATATAATGAGGAGTATTATTGTCATATTGCAACACTTGAGTTTAGTATAAATAAGTGCTCAGGTGAAGGGTTTCATTAAGAACCCAAAGCCTAATTTTTTCCATATTCTCTTCCCTTTTTCTTCTCTTTCCTTAATCCTAACCCTAACTTCTACAAATCTTTACATTTAACTTGGTATTAGAGCACTGATTCTTCTCACACAAGTGTTCAATAGAACTTGGAGATCAACACCAGGTGACTGCAATGTGCTGATGTCGTCATCCGTACGATGACATCAGTGTGATGCCACTATCCATATGGACGTCGTGCTTCAGTGAACCTGTGGATCTACTCGGTTTTGCCTCCTAATATTTATGGTTATTTTTTGTCAAATTTTTTTAAGTTGGTTAATGAGCCTTTTTGATTTTTGAATGTTTTTCAAATTTATGACCGCTATTTTTGGTATCTGTGATTTTGTCCTGTGTTTGGTAGTTTTGTTGGTTGAGGTCTACTCTATGGTAGCCAACTCAGTCTCCTGAGGCTTGCTTTGGTGTTTGTTTTGCTTTTTGGTGCACCAGAAGTGTCCGTTGGTCTCTAAGAGGTTCAACTCTCTCTCTCTCTCTCTCTCTCTCTCTCTCTCTCTTCTGCTGCTTCACTTTTGTTACAGCTTCAGTGGTTGTTTGTTAGCATTCTTGCGTCCTATTCTTTGTTATCGCTAGTAGAAATATTGCCTTGTTCTATCCCTTGCAATTTGGCTTGGTGTTTGTGGTTGCTCAGTGGTAGTTTTAGTATAACAGAGTAGCTGTTACCTATTCTGTCTTTTGTTATCTGTTGGATCTAGTTTTGAGTTATTTGTGTTCACCTGTTTGCATCTCATAGCTGAGTGTAAAACCCCATTGGTTAGGATGGTGTGTCTCACCCTCCATTAGTTAAGGATGATGATTTGCCCAAATCTATTACTACCAAGAAATTGAATGGTTTAAATTATATGGCTTGGGCACATGTTGTGAAGGTGTTTTTGCGTGGAAAGAAAAAAATTGCGCTTCCTTACGGATCTTCCTCCTTTGGGTGATGATAAAGAGTATCATGCTTGGTCTATCGTGGAGTCTTGTGTTATGGGATGGCTTTGGCATAGCTTGGAACCAAATGTTGCAACCATGTTTGAGTTTTGTGAAACCCCTAGGGAGATTTGGGACTCTCTTGATGAGTCTTTTTCACAATAGAGTAATGTTTCTCGAGTGTATGATCTGTATGATACCATCTTCGCTACAAAGTAGTCCACTATCTTAGTATTATAGTTGTCTGAAAAATTTGCGGGATCAATTATTGCAGCATTGCCTTTTTACTGCAGACTCAACTCAGCAAAAATGGAATTGGGAAGAGTTTATGATTGCCTCCTTGTTTACTAGTCTAGATTTCGATTTGCGTGGATTCAAGGATCAGATTTTGGCCAGTAAGACTTTGCCTTCAGCAGCTAATGCATATTCCCACTTATTATGGTCTTTATTGGGCCTTTGATTGTGCAAATCACAGATTTAGTGCCTTTGATTATTTTATTTCTTAATTTGTAAACATTCATTCAATATATATTCATGGCTTGGCCTCATTCAGAGGTAGCCTTTCAATTATTTTCTTCTTCTGGGTTTACTGTAATTTGCCCTTCTATTTTGATGTAGGAATGCCTCTTCATGCTGAACTATCATGACACCTTTTACCTTAATATGTATCTACTTATTTTCTATTCTTGTTTCCAATTGCAATATTTTCTTTGTTTCTTTCCGTTTAGCACAGTTTAAACTTTTGATAAATTATGTTATGAACACTGTATCTGTGTTAATTTGTAAAGTTGCTACTTATTTCTTTTTTTGGTAAGTAGTAGTTGTAATTTCTTTCAGGGATATTTCCAAGCGCACCTTTTTAGCAAGGTTTTCTTCTCCAAGTAATTCAGTTTTTCAGTTCCTGCCAATCAGTTTAGTTAGGTGGCAAAGCGAAGGTCATGGGGACCCCATCAACAATATTATCGCTGCAACTAAAACATCATTATTGGAGCAGGGTGAGAACCATGTGTCTATTCCAATAGAGGGGGAAGATGTGGCTATTTGGATTTTTGTCTCAACTGTCTGCAATTCCGATGTTCAACATGACTTGGAATCAAGCAATCACAAAATAAACCCAGTTGGATTTTGGAGGCTAGCTCTGCTGGCGAAAAACAGGGTGATCTTGGGAAGTGCATTGGATCCAAGGTAATTTCAGTTTCATTTTGAAGCAATAACATATCCGTTTCATGTTTCATAATATTTCTTTTCTTTGTTATCGGCAGTATAGGTTGACTCAGTTCTAAACTTTTGGCATTGTTTTAATTTTGTATGGATATATATTTGTTTAGAGCAATGGTTTACAAAAAATTAATCAGGGCAATGCCATAGAAACAAAATTTTTGTACAAAAATTTTATACATAATGATGTAGTTTATTTAGATCTATTCATGGAACAATAGAAAGTTCATAAATGTGTGGTTCATAATTGCAAAAAAAAAAATGTCACTGTCACTTCATCATGTGTGAGTTTTCTATACAAAAATTGAGTATGCTTGGCATTTTTAAATTAAGGGTAAATTACAATAACTATAACCCATTTGCATTTTGCCCCCTTGAACCTCAAAACTCAACAGTTAAACCCCCTCAAAGTATTATCTTGTTGCAATTAATCCATTATGTTAAGATTCTGTTAGGAATTTACACAAAATCAAATTATATGTAAAGCACATGACAAATATATTGAATTTTTAGGACAATAATGCCCTTATTTGGTGATCCTGTTTGTACTTTGCCACTAAGATAAGGGTATTATTGTCACTAAAATGGGATCACGAGATAAGGGTATTATTGTCCTAAAAAAATTAATAACTGGTATTATTCCTAAAAATTCAATGTGTGCCATGTGCTTCACACATGACTTGATTTCGTTTAAATCCTGAGGCTGAATCCTAACGGAAGGTGTTTAGTGTAACAAGATAATAGTTCAAGGTTTCAAGGCGGCAAAGTACAAATGAGTCATAGTTTAAGGGAGTACGCTGTAATTTACCCTTAAATTAATTATCCAGAATTTTCATACTGAATGATAAGGATGATTTGGGTCCTATCACTTTGAAATGAAAGACTTATCAAAATGCCCTACCACTTTGAAATGAAAGACTAATCAAAATGCCCTACCACATTCTGGAGGGGAATTTTGTATACGCCACATCATTACCTTTTTGCATAGCATTTTAAATAAAACATATTTCCATGTAAAAGAAAAAGGATTCTCACTTTCTTTGTAGCATATCAAGTGAATGCATATTTCCTGCATGTATAGGATTATTTTATATTTAAAATTTCAGGAATTATTTCACTCTCGCTTTCTCCTTTTTGTTTTAAATTGAGTTTACCCTCGAGGATGTGCTTGTTTCCTTCAAATTCTAACCTACATGAATGGGAGTACAACAGATTTCACTTCACCCCCTTGTGCAAATGTGCCAATTACCTTCCTCTGATTTGGAAATAACCACATAATCTCCTTGTAGTTTGTAGATTGAAATGCACTGTTAAACATTCTATGCAATTTAGCGGCAAGTGTAAAATACATGCCAAACATAAAGGGGTTATATGCTCATTTTCAAATTTCAAGGAGGTAAATCGCTCATGGAATAAAGTACATGGGATTAAAGTGCATTTTGCCTTAAAAACAAATGACAAAAATATCCGTAGTTCACACACTTAGATTACTTACATACAGGGGTATTTTAGTCATTTTGTTTAAATTGTTAACGGACTTAACAGTGCACTTTAGTCCACAAATCACAATGTGGCTATGTGGTTATTTCCAAATGAGGGGGTAATCTGCACAAGGGCCATACCACAAGGGGATAATTTGAAATTTTCCCGTGGGAATATTATGGACATTCATGAATTTGTTTTCTACTAATACAAACCAATTACTGACATGATAAGGCAGAAATGTAAGTACCGATATGTGGACGTTATTTAGGTTGTGTTTGGATTGTAGATTGGATCGGGATTGGAAAAGAGAAAGGAAAAAGTGAGAGAAATGTGAATAAAATATAAACTAATGTTTTCTCTATTTCCCTCACCATTTACTTTCCCTTTCTGAATCTCTATCCAAAATCCATGATCCAAACACAACCTTAGTGAGTGAGATTAATTTTGATGTGAAAGTGCATCATGCAGTTTATTTCCTGTTGAAAAAGAAATATTTTTAAATCCTAATACAATGAAATTGCTGATGGGATCTTACTAAAAGAATTCTAAAATGTAGTTTTCAATTTACAGTGCTGCTGCAATAGGTGCATCAAGTTATGTTGGCATCATTGGAACATGTGATGGACTTGTTTACATGTGGGAACTGTCTTCAGGAACTAAGCTTCGGGATCTGCATTGTTTCAAAGGTATGCTTCAAGTCCTAACTAGTATCTCTTCTGATATGGTGGTATACAAGGATCATGAACCCCGTATACTAATCTCTTCTCAGTTAATTTTCAACTTGAAAAGGTGTACATTTTCTATCCTTTTTATTCTTCAGATATATGTATATTTTAAAATATTTCTTTGACGAGGAGTCTTTAACTTTTAGTAGAGGTGGCAAACAGGCGGGTTAAAATGGGTTGTGCACTAAAAGAATTCAATTCTAACCTGACCATTTAATAAGGGGTGTAAACGGGTTGGACAAATTAACCCGATTAACTCGTTTATTTTATTAAACTCTTATGTTAATGGATGCAAATTTTCTTTGAAAATGAATTTAATATGGATAACTCAATAAATACCATATATGTACATGTATATATAGAAGTAAATATTTATTTTTTGTATTGTTTAGGTAGATATATAGATGTAATGTATACAAACATTTATATATGAGAGTTCAAAATTCCTAAAATGAGAAGAAATTTAAATGTGAAACACAGTTTTTAGAAATATATATAGATATATATTTTTGATTAAGAACTTGATTGGTGATCACATTTAACTAAGGAAAATAGCATATAAATCCAAAAAGAAGACTCCACATCCGATATGATGGAATCTGAGCCATCAAGCCAAGCCTTGAACTTCACTCCTAAGCCAGGGCAAGAGCAGAGGAGAAGCAGCAACCATTCCGTCTTCTCCTCTTCATTTTCTATCAGCAAATAATGGGATTAGAAGGCACCTAGAATCCCTTCTATCGAGCTATCTCAATCTTGGCTTTCTGATCTTACTTATCAGTGGTAGTTTTTGGAGTAGCTAGTGTAAAGCCTGTGTTCTAAGGTTCTAAAAGAGAGGAGCAGGCTAGATAAGAATTGTATTATTAGTTTGTATCTCCTTGCCTTTATTGTTGCCAAACGAAGAGCTAAGGCCAAAACAGAATGTATTAGCTGGGAGCTGTCTCCCATAACAAGCCCCAAAAACCAGCCTAGTACTTGGAAAAAAAAGAGGATCCAATTGAAAAGAAACAAACCCATAGTTCGTCATTGATGAGCAAGTGTCTTGCTCAATTACAGAACACACGAAAAAGAAGAGCTTATAACTGAATAAAATTCTATTGGTTATCTTTTTCCAACATTACCAGACTGTTTTTCTTAGATTTTATTACAAATATTATATATGCTAAGCTTGGGGAGACTAAAACACAAACAAGCAATAACATACCCCTGCCAAAGCAGGGGAATCAAAAGAAAACCACAAAAACCCTACCGAAATAGTAACGCAACACCACCACATTTGCCCATATATCTTTTTATATCCCCAAGTTAACCCCACCATCAAAAGATAATAGATGGGAACTTGGGGAAAATACATGGGCAAGTATGCAATACTCAAACAAGAGTAAACAAGCTAAAACAGCCACCAAGACTAATCAAAAAATGATAACCACCCCGCATGCTCGCAGTCTCAATCACAGATGAAACATGGCGCCCAATAAGCATCTCGCATCCTCATAGCCGTGACATCCATAGCTACTCAACCAAAGCCATGACAGAGGAAAAAAATCAGTCCCATGAAAGATCTTGATGGAGTCACATGAAGCTCACACGGTCAATCATCATAATTAACGATCTTAGAGAGTATAACGAAAACCCAAAGCCACTACAACAACCGTCAGAGTCGAAGTCAATCCCATCATGAGACCAATCACCCCATCCCCTAAGCCTCAATACCCATAGTAGTATCCCTCTCACTCCATGTCGGGAATGGCTTAAAGATCAATATCAAGATGGGTCACAAGAAAATAAGAGGCAAGTAGAACAATCTGGTAGACCTCACATCTCCCAGTATCTAACTTGGCTGATCATCAAACCACAATTCCCCATAGCAGTGACCCCTTAATCACCCTTGGCGGAAATGGCTCAAGAAGAACCTCATATGGAGTCACATGAGGATCATGCGATCAATCATCATGAATAAACTGGCTATAACCAATATACTGCTGCGTAATGGCTCAACAAAAGAAACCCATCTACCAGTACCCCTATATTTTAGCAACCTGAAGCAAATCTTCAAGTGGGCCCAAAAAAGAGATCCCACGGGTACAGCCCACAAGATAGAAAAAATTAGCTCACAAATCAGCCAAAAATCCTCAAACAACTTGTACTGCTCAAGTGGGCCCCACTCTTCATAAGAATATAAAAAACTGCTCAAATGAGGCACCAATTCAAAGGAGGCACCATTCCAGCAAACAAACAACTTGGCACCAATACACATATACATATATAATAGATGACATACTTTTCTTTTTGTCACTCCCAAGAAGCACACTATCAGCATGTATTGTCCCTGTGCAGAATGATTACCTAGAAGATATTAGGTAAGGACTGAGCAGTACACAGCACGCTTGAAACAAGAACACAACACTAGCATGCCTGGGCAGGAAAAACTGAGCCCAAACAGCCACATCAACATAACCACTCACCCTAGGAGCGTGAAGCACACCACCTTCACACTCGCAAGGACACCGACATCAAACCCGGGACTGAAGCTGAACAACCCAATAGTGGCACTACCCACGACCGGGAGCATCAACCCATACCCCAGCTTGACCACTTCCACAGAAAACCAACACCGGTAAAGACGACTGGCTACAAACAAACTAGACGCACGCCGGGAATTAGAATTGGCCCAGACAATCAGTTCAACATCCACACAGCACATCCTTAATCCTCAACCCAGCACTACTGGCGAAACTAGACAACCCATGGTTGAGAATGGAGGTAGCTTAGACGGACGACGACAAGCAGAATAAAACCGAGCATGTTGGATGATGGACGTTGCCCACCATTTTGCTAAGCTATTGGCATTAACTTTGTAATATTTTAACGTAAATTCACTTTACCTCCTTGTGATTTTGCCTCAGAGCAATTTACCTCCTAAAGTACTACCATTAGTTTTTCCGTCCAAAGTAATAGTAGGTGTGCTACACTCTCTCCCAAATTGAGAGTGGCAATGCAAAAATCCCAACTCAAAGTAAAAAATTGGATCAAATGCCAAAAATACACTCATCTGCATCTTTTTCCCCAAACTAAATTCTAATCCTAAACAAATCTTAATCCTAACCGTCATCTTCCATCAACAATTTAATTTAAGATGTTCTTGAATGCTAAATTGGGTTTAAAATAAAAATTTAGATTAAGGTAATTTTATAGTAATAAATTAGGACATGTTTAATTTAAAATGTTGTTAAATAAGAAATTGGGTTAAAATTTTAAAATTAAAAATAGATTATGGTAATTTTATGGTTAATAAGGTGTTTAGGTTAATTTGTGGTTTAATTATGCGATTAAGATATATAAAATTATATGTATTAGAGAAGAGAAAAGAATATGGCATGGGAGTATTTAGGTCATTTTGCTCATTTATTAACATAGTAAGTTTTGCACTTTAGTCCAAAACTAGAAGGGGGTTCTCTGCTTATATTTGAACCATAGTGGAATAAAGTGTTCTGAGGCAAAACCGCATGGGATAAAGTGAATTTTGCCCTATAATATATGTAGCATATTCAAATCAATTAATAGTCACTGCCCTGGTGGAGTAGCACAAGCCTGAAGGTTTGCAAACTCGTGTAAGCGATGATAGACCTTTTGGCACTTGCGGGTTTACCTCAAATTTTTTCAAGCACCCATGAGTAGACCCATTGAGGACCCATTACCCACCCATTTTAACCCTCATAAATTATTGGGTGTAGCAATGTTACCATATCACAACCTGTGTAATAAATAAGCAGGTTTTAATCCATAAAATGATGAGCGGGAATGGGCAGATTGACAGGTTTGGGCTAATATTGCCAGCTCTAGCTTTTAGATTGCCCTTTTCATTCAATAAAAAAAAAATAATTATAAATAATATGAGGTCTATGTCATAACCCCATTCCGTCCCAAACAGGATAGCATTATGACCGACCAGTAATTCTCAACTACCGAAGGCCTAACAAGACTGGACTGACAATACTTGGGGCTTATGCGGAATCATTTGTCCATTAATTACCAAGAGTCCATTCAGTGTATGTGCATAAGTCGTATGAAAACAAACATACATCCTTCTTTTATTAATATCTTTCGTTATTACAAAGTCCAAACAACAAAAAGAAAGGAAAATACAACATCTTATACAAGCTTACAAACCAAAACACATATACAAGGCTGTCTTTTTAAGGGTACATCTCTCAAGAGTGCAAACTCAAAAGTAAAAGAAAAGACTTCTAAGTTGACTTCTCATCAGATCCATGATCTTTTTCATCACCTACATACATATAGGGGAGAGGGGTGAGCCATTTCCCAGTGAATAGTAATAAAGTAAAGCGGTAAATGAATGAACCTGACAAACTTTATATACATAGCATAAAATCATAGTTTGAACATAGTTTAACTTGAGCAAGATGATTCAAAACTTGACTTGCAAACATTTACATAAGGATGAACATTCCAAAGATAACGAGGTGTTTAACTAGCCTGGGTACCGGTTAAACGGCCCACCCGAAGGTGGCAAGGTGAGCTCAACCATCAAGATGTTATTGGCATGAGTCCCCCAATAACTAGGACTTCCAAGGGTGTCATCTAAATACATGTTAAAAAAATATATATTGTTCATTATAGCGAAGAAATAACGTAATTTTCATAAGCATAAAGTAGATTTCGCATTTGAAACATAGTCAAACATAGTGTTACTAAACGACTAGTCACAAATGGACAAATGGCTCCTTGAACAAAGGTGTACTCGTCCAAAGCTTAACCTACACAAAGTAAGAACCAGGCATTGAAGTACCTAACTTAACTTGCAAGAACATAACAAATTGAGCGCTTTAACTTTACTTAATGTTCTCCTAAACTTCTCTCAAGTGTAAAGTTTTGTTCTATGTTTAATTCGAGTCCCAAACAAGTGTATAATAAGTGTTAAATGCAACTTGCAAGTATGGAAGTGCTCTAGAGGACTAAGGCTTGAAAAACAGGTATCGGTGTTGGAACAAGGGTGCCACATGTGCAGGGCTCATGGGCTGCATGTGCGGCCTGCAGTGTCAAATTTGAGTTCCAAAAATCTAGCTGCACGTGCGGAAATGGCTGCTTCAAGCAGTCTGAAATTGCAGCTTTGTTCTAAGCTTTCCTCTCTCATTTCTTTAACTTGGGACCTTGCGAACTCAATACAAAACATGCAAAATTAATGGTAAAACTTGGAAGTACGATATTTTCTAAAACAATAACATCAAAACATGATTTAATTTCCAGATTCAAGGATCAAAACCAAGGTTTTATCAAGAAATTCACGAACCCTAGTTCCTATTCAATCTTTTTGTTCTCAACTCTCAATACATGGAATTAAACTCACAAAAGTTCTTGGAAATCATATGAAGATATGGAGGTGGAACCTCTCATGCAATAAAAACATCAAAACCTAGATGAACATGGCATGAATCAGGATTACTCAACTTGTTCTTCATTTCAACCACCTCTTTTCTATTCTTTTCTTTGTTTCTTCTTTACTAACTCAAATTAATCCTAGTTTCTTCTCAATCCTAGATACTAGGTAGGATTACTACAAGATTTAAGGTTCAAATTTACTTGGACAAAATTCAATTTACCCCCTTGTGGTTAGCGTCTGGAGCACTGCACCTCCCTATAGTTCAAATATAGGTAGAAAAGCCCCTTAGAGTTTTGGACTAAAATGCTACTCTAACTCTATTAAAGTTAGTTGTAAAATGACGTTTATGCCCTTTATATCTTCTTCCCCTCCTTTGCAAAATAATTAAATTGGTAAAACTTAATATTTTAATATTATTTCTAATTTATATAGCTTATTAATGAAAAAAAATAATAAAATCAACCAAAATTTTTATATGGCTTATTAATGAAACATTTTAACTCAATTTTTGTGCAATTACATATTAAATCATATATTTATTTATTTGTTCACCTATATATATTTATATATAGGTGTGTGTGTTACAATTGATGTATAAAAAGAAATAGAGAATTGTACAATTGATGTATAAAAAGAAATAGAGAATTGTATTATTGATTTATGTTGATTGATTTTTGTTCTGTTACAATGGATTGATTATATAGATGTAGGTTAGGTGGTGGTAGGTGAGGAGTAGGTGAGTGTAGTAGGTGAGTGTGTGGTAGGTGATGGTAAGTGTGTGGTAGGTGATGGTAAATTCTAACAGTGTGTATAACCAGTCGGTTATTAACATGAAAAGGACAAAACAATCAACAAGAATCCTTATTGTTGCGCAAGCAAAAGAGTAAGAATCCTTAATGCTGTGCAAGTAAAAGAGTTGGCCACTTATCAACATAAAAACCCATTACCCTACAGAAAACAGTCAGCTATTGATATGCCAGCAAAAGGGAAAAGCAGCAACCAACTATAAATCAACCCTCCGAAACATGATCAGAGTAATCAATCTATTGAAATCAAACTTCCAGCAACTTGATTCCACCCAAATACTGAACAAAGCTATCCATTGAATAAGAGGAAAAATTTTGCTTGAGCCTTCGCCTACGGGGAAAAAAAATCTAATCTTGTTTAGATGCAGAACTTTATTGCAATCTGACATGGCTTTTTTTTGCACCAAGATTGGCATTTGAAACTCAATTGAATCTTACAGACTCACGATTGAAGTGATGGGGGTTGGTGAGGGGATGAATGGAATTTTGTTGCTTTAGGAAGGGTTTTTCCATGGTTAGGGTTTTCAGATTATTAAGATTTCCAAATGAGGAAGATGAAGATGATGAGGGTATATTTCTCTTTTTTTCCAACAAATAGTTGACTATGATTGAAAATTTTCATTCCTACTCTCAAATTATGCGTGTGACTTACATTTTCCATCAAACTGGACGGAATTTTTAACTGTAGCACTTTTGTCCAAAAGCACAAGAAGGTTCTCTGCCTATTTTTAAACAATAGGAGGGGTGAAGTGCTCCGAGCCTGAACCACAAGGGGTAGGAATGGCAACGGGACGGGCCAGGGCCGGGGATTACACTCCCCGTCCCTGATCCCCGACGGGGACGCCACCACCTCCCCCACTCCCACCCCCACCCCCTAACGGGGATCGGGTTTCCCCGACCCCGGAAAAACCCCGACTTTTTTTTTATTTAAATTTTATTCAACAAAAGAACAAAAAAAACAAAAAAAAACAGAAAAAATTAATCTATTTTCAGTATGTTTCAATTCCTCATCAACAATCATCAACTTAAAAAAATAAAAATAAAAATAAATCTGAGAAAGGAAAAAAAATCTAAAAAAATCATCAACAACAATTATCAACAACAGATTTTAAAAAATATCAACAAATTTGAAAAAATCATCAACAAACAACAGTCATGGATTCTCTCTCTAAAACTCTATTTTGATTTGGATCTAGATCTCACAGTCGGTGACGGAGGAGGCGATGGAGCAGAGGATCGGCGACAGAGGAGACCATGACGGAGGAGGCCATGGAGGATCATGAGAGAGTTGAGAGAGAGTGAGACAGTGAGAGAGTTGAGAGAGAGAGAGTGGATAGTCAGAGTGAAAGAGACAGATTTGAGAATCTGAGATAAAGCCTAGCCTAAACATATATATGTAATATATAATATAATAAAGCTTAACATATATATATCTATATAAAGACGGTTCGGGGATGTTCGCCGCGGGGCTGGGTCTGGAGAAGCTATCACCGTCCCCGGCCCGAAAATTATCAGAGATTAAATTTTTAATACCATCCCCGGCCCTATGGGGATAATTTTCAGGAGAAATCCGTCTTAATCGGAGTCGGGGGATCGGGTTCCCGTCAAGCCGGGTTTAAATTGCCATCCCTAACAAGGGGGTAAAGTGAATTTTACTCAATTTTCCTCATGGATGATCAAAAATGGTGCTTCATGTTGAAGTTCTCCAAGCCCTTCTCTCTCTTGCTTTCTCCTTTCTCTATTTTTCTTGTTCTTTCTCCTTTCTTCTAATTTGTTTCTCCAGCAGATTTTTCTCTTCTTCTCTCTTGGTTTTATTAAGGTAAGACAAAAGATTGGCAAGGACAAAAATGTAAGGTGTGTGTATCATGTATGTGCTTGCTTAATTAATTGTCTAATCTTGCTTGCTTAGCCTAATTAACCAAGGTTTGTACTAATTAATCAATGTTAAGCTTAATCATGCTTAGTTTAATTAATCCTAATTAAGGCTCACTAATCATACTTAATTAACATTAATCCCTGATCAGCAAAATAACACATAGCATGAAATGGACAAGCATATTAGTCTAGGATCTTTAAGTCCCTCAATTAGTGTATAGGCATTTTCTAGCATTGTCAAATTCTAACTTAAAGTATCCCCTAACTCAAAGCAGAAAGAAAATAAATTCCTAGACTAAAGTTTCAAACTAACTTCTCCTTCTCTTCTAGTTCTTAATAGATCCCAACTAAAACAAGCACATAACACCATGCATGAATGCAAGAACAATAACACATGTATCATGCAAGTATGATTGGGTTATCACAGTCTGACAAGGTTATATGCTGGCTGTAAACTACCTAATGATACCCTCCTTTACCTGTGCAAAAATTACATACAACGCATGCACAGTTAGACTTTAATAATGTACTTGGAATTTCACACATTGCTTTAATGTTATTTCTAAGGTTTCCAGTGTTTTACGAGCAATCTCTTGATAAATAGTTCAAATTCCATGTAAAAGTTGTGTCTATCCATGAGAAGTGAGCCAAGTCTAATGTAGGTAAATGCAGAAAAACGCCTCCCATCTGGATCATTCAAAGGCTTTGTTCTTTCCAAGATGCTATAACCTTCTCTATCTGGCATGGGAGAGCATTTCTGCTAACTGTTATGAAACATCAGATGAAGCATTCAGCACCTGAAAATGAAAATATAAATGTCACAAAACTAAAGCTTCAAACAAAGATATGCAATATTTTGCACAACAATCCTCCACATACTCTCATTGTAATGGGCAATGTCTATTAGAGGAGGATCTATCTCCCAGTAGGCAAATTAATCTTTGATTACTGGAATTTATTCCAACTTATATGTTGTAAAGAACACGTTTATATGCTTAAATTCCATTTCTTGGTCTGTCTGACCTAACATTAGATATCTTGTGGATTCAGTTCAGCTTCAAAAGCGCAGTGCACTAGCTGTTATATCCTCCTTATATAGATTTCTTAACGTTGTCAAAGATCTTTGCCATCTAAATGGTGCAATTTGTTGTTGTCAGGGTTGGGAGGTGACAGTTTTGTTAGAAGACTATTGGGTCAACCCCCTTGAGTCAAAAGAAGACTATTGGTCCATGTAAAGCTATTCTTTAAAGGAAAAAAAACATAAGAATGTCGCATTGATTACCTGATACTACACAATCACCACCCTCTTGCAATATTTGATTAGCCATCTATGTAGTTGGAACTTATTGTGATATAAATTTAATGAACTTTTTGAGTCATATGTACTTTAGACAATGCATATATTTCTGAGGTTGAAGAAATCATGTGTTCTTGCTAATTTTTCTTCTGATAATATATCAGATGTTGGAGTCTCATGTATTGCGATTGATGATTCAAGGTCGGGTCCTCTGGCTGTTGCTGCTGGAGACCAACTGATGGTTTATTTGCCTTCTCAAGGAGGCATTTTCTGATCACCGTGGTAATAATATGCAAACAAGTCTACTCATTCTCTAAGATGATCTTACCTGTGGACCTGTTGGCCAGTGAAGAACCATATTGTTTTTTTAGTTGTGCCATGCAAACTACCAAGCAATGCAGAGTGGACAGATTTTTAGGTGTACAATCTGTCATGAATGTTGTAATTTTGTACCTCTTTTCTGTTCAGTTCAAATTTTGATGAAAGTTACACCTATTGCCCTCGTCAGTGTAAATAGGTGTACAATCGTCATAGCGAGAATGTTGCAATTTTGTACTTGTATCTGTTTTCGGTTCAAAACTGATAAAAAATGACACCTACGTTGTGTTTAGATCATGAATTTGGAAAGAGAAGGAAAACAGATAAAGTGAAATGTGAATATAATATAATTACATTTTACCTAATGTCGTTATTAGTGTATGTAATGAGTTGAATCAAATTCGATTCATTTATTTTCGGTTTGTTTACTAATATTCTTGGCAAACATGCGAGTTTGGGTATTGATTGGAGCTGGATTGGTAGAAATTTCCAAATCATTTAGTTGTATTATTATTATTATAATTGTGGTGTCGTAGATCATTCTATTTAAGTTAATAAAAACAAATTACATTACTTTTATTCGACTTTGTGACAAAAATGTAAGGTGTGTGTATCATGTATGTGCTTGCTTAATTAATTGTCTAATCTTGCTTGCTTAGCCTAATTAACCAAGGTTTGTACTAATTAATCAATGTTAAGCTTAATCATGCTTAGTTTAATTAATCCTAATTAAGGCTCACTAATCATACTTAATTAACATTAATCCCTGATCAGCAAAATAACACATAGCATGAAATGGACAAGCATATTAGTCTAGGATCTTTAAGCCCCTCAATTAGTGTATAGGCATTTTCTAGCATTGTCAAATTCTAACTTAAAGTATCCCCTAACTCAAAGCAGAAAGAAAATAAATTCCTAGACTAAAGTTTCAAACTAACTCCTTCTCTTCTAGTTCTTAATAGATCCCAACTAAAACAAGCACATAACACCATGCATGAATGCAAGAACAATAACACATGTATCATGCAAGTATGATTGGGTTATCACAGTCTGACAAGGTTATATGCTGGCTGTAAACTACCTAATGATACCCTCCTTTACCTGTGCAAAAATTACATACAACGCATGCACAGTTAGACTTTAATAATGTACTTGGAATTTCACACATTGCTTTAATGTTATTTCTAAGGTTTCCAGTGTTTTACGAGCAATCTCTTGATAAATAGTTCAAATTCCATGTAAAAGTTGTGTCTATCCATGAGAAGTGAGCCAAGTCTAGTGTAGGTAAATGCAGAAAAACGCCTCCCATCTGGATCATTCAAAGGCTTTGTTCTTTCCAAGATGCTATAACCTTCTCTATCTGGCATGGGAGAGCATTTCCGCTAACTGTTAGGAAACATCAGATGAAGCATTCAGCACCTGAAAATGAAAATATAAATGTCACAAAACTAAAGCTTCAAACAAAGATATGCAATATTTTGCACAACAATCCTCCACATACTCTCATTGTAATGGGCAATGTCTATTAGAGGAGGATCTATCTGCCACATTTGTTTTGTGCCTTTTTTTTTTTTTTTGTTTTTTTTTTTTTTCAATTGTCACCTCACTAGTGGTGAGATTAGTGATGACAAATTAGTGGTCTATAGCACTGCTCTTTTTTATTTAGGTGTGCCAGCTCAGTAGAACTGTTGTTAGAGCAGCTCTACTAGAGCTCTCTAGCAAAGCTGATTGAATAATGATGAAATTGGGAGGGAAGATTACCTGTTGATGAGATGCCCTCACTAAAAGTTATATGTTGGAAAAACAGAGGAATGTTTGTGTAGGAGTTGTAGGTCTAAGTTTATTGTATTGTTTTATTATATTATGTTTACCTTATTATTATTATTATTATTATTATTATTTGCAGAGTGTGTGTCTTGCATTCCTTTTGCTTGGTGCAGCTTCTGAAATGTGTTTGGAAGGATGAAAAAAAAAAAAAAAGAAGACTTCTTGAGGTTAAAAAATAAATAATCTCAATTGTGCATATAATATAAATTTCTTTATATTTTGTGAGGATCACATTGTGCTAGGTTTGTCTATCTTGACTCTCCACATGAATTTGATTGCTCCACATTGCAAGTTTGCATTGGATTTCACATTTTAAGAGTTAAATCTAGTTGGAGACAGCTTGTATTCTAGTATTTGTTTCATTCTTGCTACTGTGAAGTTTTTCCATTGGATTTCACATTTTATGAGTTAAATCTATCCAATGTACCAACTTTTAGGTAACAGTCAAGTTCATCTAACTTTACCAAAAAAAGAAAAAAGAAAAAAGAAAAAAAGGGGATAACAGAAGCCCAAAAATGAGCTAATTAATATTTTATTAAAGCACTGATTTTCTTTCAGCATTTTCTGAATATAGGAAAGCTTACATCAAAGGTGGAAGTTAACAACAAACAGGCTTATGAGCAATGCCATGTGCAATTCTTCATTGCATAGATATTTTAATATTCTCTCATCCTTCCACAGGAAGTTCTCTAAGAAAAAAAACTATTCCTATAACTACATAGAATTTTTGTTTTTTGTTGTTTTAACATATGTACTTGAACAAATGGAAAGTGTTTAGTTTTTTATTCTTGGCAAGTGGACTAACTATGCCTTGAAATTTGTTGATAAAGAACTTTTTTTTTTTTTTGCTGTGATTTGTAATCACCTACAAGGCATTAGTATCTAGTGTTTCCAATTGTTTCTGGAATCATTTCTAGCAAGAGTTTCCTGGTTAGCAACTAATTACAAATGACTGAGAATTTTTCAGTGACTGATAGTATTTGGTTTTAGAACTTGAGTCCTTTTCATAATATGGCAATATTGGGGAATGAGATGAACATAGACACTGGTATTGATCATTTATATTGCTTTTAACTTGTAGAAAACTGTCTTTTTTGGAAGTATGTCGAAAATATCACGTAGATCTAATAATTATTTTATTGCTTTAACATTTTTTTTTTGGGTACGTTGGAAACGGATATTGCTTTAACATTTAATTGTGACACATGGGGGTCGGAGTTGAGAGCAGCCACTGTGTGAAATTCGCTTGACATTTGGTCTCATTTTTGGTTCCAAGGCTCAATTTTGTTTCACATTTGGTCTTTTATGGGGTTTTGTTTGATCTCCACGGCGCAAATTTCTTGTGGATACACTAATCATGCTGATGGTAAGAGTGGGTTGGATCATTTCTGATTTTCTTGAGCTGGTTGGGTGATTACAAAATGGGGGAAAAAATTAAAAAGAAAAGAAAGAGGACTTGCAATATAGTTTATTGTGCTCAATCATTTTCAATTTAATTGTTATTATTATCCTATATTTTCTAACCCGCTGAGCAGAGCAATTTCTCCCATCACTCATGTGCCTTATGAATAATAAAAATAAAAATAAATGATTTAGGCTTTAGAAATCTTTGCAAGATTACAGTATGGTTTCCTAAATAGATTGACCAACATTTGTTAGGTAGTTATGTTCTTTGGTTTGGATAAATTAGATGCTTATCTTTGCTTATAATTACTTCTGATTTGGTATTTGTGGCAGTCGGCAGTGGTAGTGGTGTTGATGACATAGACAGATAAGTGGATCAAGTGGACAGATAGTTATATATAGACAAATTGTGCGATAACACGCAGACAAATAGGTAGACTGTAGATAAATAAGTATGGGTAAAAAATAGATTTTGAAATTATAATTATTCTTTTGGCTTCAAAAGAATATAATTTGGGCCTATTGATTAGCCCAAAAGATTTAGAAATAACCCTCTTTCCTAACCGCTTTTAAAAAAGTTGATTCTATTTACGCAATATTTTCAACTCATTACACCAATTATCTCATTACACTCATTTAAAAATTTAAAAATTTTAATTTTTTCTATTTAAACTTCTCAATATATAAATTTTGTCATTACCTATAACCTTACTTTCCTCTCTTTACACCCATTTCCCCTGCCCTATCTTCTCTATTCATTCTCTTCTTCTTTTCACCATCTCTGACTACCATTACAGCCATATTAATTGTGGCCTATTGAATATGCAATATGTGTCTAGTTTTCGGGGTGCTGAACATGATGGCTTTATAAAATTTGGCAATAGATGTTAGGAATGTTTCAATTTTGTTCGGTGGTGGTTGTTTGTGCAGTTTGATTTTGTTCGATAATAAGGCTATGAGCTGTTTGGTTTTGTTTGATTCTAGTGCACCGAACAAAAGTTGAACAACCATCTCTAAATTCGATTTGAAAAAGTAGAATTAAAAAAAATCAACAATTCACTTTTCTGCTGGTTATTCATCATTATTTCTTCATTTATTGTCTTATTTTATAATCAAAATATCACGATTTATACTTTTGTAGGAGAATGTGCAATAAAAAAAATGAAATGAGAAAAGAAGAAGATGAATAAGGTTTATAGTGAGACGCGTGTAAAGAGATATTAAAATCTATTGATTTTTTTCTTTTGCCTTGAAAAGTAATTTTGCACAATTGGATTAAAAAATATTTCAAATAAATGAGGGGTGTAATGAGTTAAAACTGTTACGTATGTAGAGTTATAAAAAAAAAAGGATAAATCACAAATATACTTCTCAAGGTTTGCTTAAACTACGGATTGCTTTTGTGGTTCTGAAAATTATACCCCATTTTTTTAATTTTCTAATTGTATAACTAACGACTCATTTTATTAATAAATCATTAAATTAATAAATTAATTAATAATTTTTAATAATGTCAAATATATATTTTAATTAATACTTTAAGCAATTTTATTGTTTTATAGAAGAATAGTTAGAAATTTATTTATTCTTGTTAATTTTGTCAAATAAGAAATGTTGATAAGAAGATATTTGTAATTTTTAAAATTATTGGGCTTAGTTTATATTTTCAAGTAAAGGTGTATTTGTAAGTTATTTTAAAAAAAAATGAAAAAAAAAATTGTAAAAAGAGAATGAATAACAACGGTGCTAGGACCCACCACCCCAGTTTTTTTTTAATGGTCAAATTTTTTTTTTTTTTCCTTCCAATCACCCACAGACACGTGGGGCTGGGGTCTGCCGCATTTTTCAATGAATATATGCTGCTACATCATGAACTTTTGGTGCTCCGCGGCTGCAGTAGGAAATCAACGGTTCCTAAATGACATAAAAGCGCGGGAAAATTCGATACGTTTGGCGCCACATAAACTGTAAATCACACAGAACTAGTCATTAGCAGCGACGCCAAGATCTAAAAGTTTATAATTTCAAGTGCATCTCTCGCATCGCATCTCATCATATTCATATTCCTCTCACATTTCTCAATTCTGGTGCTCTTTTGGTTTTTGTTTTTTCCTTCAATCAATTCTGACAAACCCTAGTCCGACCCACTTGAATACCCTAATTCATACGATTTCCAATTCTGATCGACATGGAAGGTTTATCCGCCATTTGCGCTGGTCTCGGAGTCATTGAGGAAGACGACAATGGCAATCGGAACAGCTACACACCCGGCGAATACTGCTTAGGTATCACTATAATCTCCATGACTCCCAATTTTTTATTTTTTTTTGGGTTTCATTTTGTAATCTTCCCAAAATATTATAGTAAATCGACTTAATGTTTGTTAAATACACTTGAATGCATGGCTCTATTTAAATAGATTTGTTTCGGATTTTGTTTTTTCCCCGATTGCCTTCTAGATAATTTGAAAGACTTGTTGAGGTTTCTGAGGCGAGACGATCCACAAACCCGAGAAGTATTCAAGCAAGTTTGTAAATGGAATATTGTTGGCAAGGACTTGATACCCATTATTGAACACTGTCAGGATGATCGTAATTTGGTTCTAAATTCAGGTAGTCACTCACTCATTGATTCATAAAGTAGAAGCTTTATTGATTTATTATAAAGTTTGGGGGAAATTGCAAATCAATAGGATCTTCACAAAATATTTACAAATTCATGGAAAAGTTTATAACTTTAATTATTAAAGTTGATAAATTTTGCCACTAATTTGATTTTTTTTAAAAAAAATTTATTAAAAACTTCCGCTGAATTGCAATTTCCCCTAAATTGGGGAAATTGCGATCTTCACAAAATATTTACTCATTATTGCTTAATACAATTTACAGTGAAGGTTCTGGTGTTTCTAACTATGCCTGTTGAGCCTACATCCAATGACATACCCCAACAAATAGAGTATCTTTGGGGGTTGATGTCTTCAATTACTTGCAGTGACATTGTCCCAGTGATTGTCTCACTTCTAGAGAGTCCACTGGAAAATTTAGAACAGTAAGTTGGAATTCCTTCTCCCCTTTTTGTTTTGGCATTTGGTTTGGCTTCTTTCATACACCATCAAAGATTTGAAACTGCCAAGTAAAATGATTACATGAAGTATCAGGATCGTACATGATCGGCTCTTTTGATTTTCTTCCATTATTTTCCTCGCGTTTTTCTTTTCTTACTAAATTTTACTTTTGAGAAATAGAGGTGGGAAAAGGGAAATGACTTAAAGTAAGACTGTGTTTGGTGCAGCTTTGAAAACTTAATTCCACCCCTCCATTTGTATGCATTGTTTGGATGGAGTTTTGGAATTGTGATTCCACCACACATTTCAAAACATATTTCTCTTTCCTGTTTGGCTACTCTCTCTCTTTCGTGTTCTCCATTTTGAAAAGTAGATGATTTTTGAATTTTGGGTCTACCTGGTCATCCTCCCAAACGTCCCTGGACGTCCAGCTAGTTGACCGGAACAGTGTTCATGTTTTTTTTTTTTTTTTGGCACCTGTTATTTTTATATTTTAAATAAAAAATATTTTGAATATTTTTTTTAAATTTTTTTTATGAGCTTTGAATATAATTTTAGATTGTGTGTTTGGTTATGAGTTATAAATTTTTGAATCAAATATCATATGTCACATCACTCAATTCAAAACTCATAACCAAACAAATTTTTCACACTCAAATCATAATTCCAAAATTCACAAACTCAAAATACAACTCTATTCTCAAATCATAATTCTAAAGCTCTACCAAACGCAAGTTTTTGGGATTTTCATTACTTGGAATTTTGGTTTGTTAAAGTTGAGAATTCTATTCCTTAGTGTCCAAACTGTGCAAACATCAGATTCAAGATGTTACTTTATTTTCATCAAGTTTTTCAATGAAGTAAATATTTCATTGTTTCATAAAATTGTCTTAAGTAAACCATTTTATGAGCATGAGTTCACTGAAACATATTTTAAGCTGCCCGTTATTCATGCTGGAAGTTGAATGCTTTCCTTAGTTTCAGGAGGTACAGGGGAGCATTAATAAAATACCTTTACCATGCATGAGAAAATGCTAATACTTGTTAAGAGTGATCTTACTGATCTGATTAGGAAATGAACAGAACTCTCTACCCTTCTTCATATACGAGTGTTATATTTTTGAAACACTCATGTGTTCCATGATTTTTTATTCAGAATCATCCTCAATCTTTCTTAGAAGTGTTTAAAGTAGGCTATATGCTAAGAAGGTTTTGTTCTTTTCTTTATTGCCTCTGTGACAGAATCTTGCCCAATATGGAAGTTAATACCAATAGCGAAGCATAAGCATGCTTTTGTTGTTTAAAATATGAATTGTGGCGACCATTTTGTAGTAGAGACTCATATAATTAATCAAATGTGACTGCAAGTGTGGGATAGATATGGTTAAGAAGACCCATGCATCAATCAATGCTTGAGCACTTAGGAGTGTTTCAAGTTTTTTTTTTTTTTTTCTTTTTTTTCTTTTATTTTTTTATACAACCTTACACATGTTTATATATCTCAACGGCCTGCTTGCTCTGATACCAAGTTAAAATTATATGAATAAGTTTAAGAGTGAAAAGAGAGAGACAAGAAAACAAGAGAGAAAAAAATGATTTGCAGGAAAGGGGCATAAAACCCAAGATTTGGTTTTTCCTCTATAACCATATGTATTTATACTAATCAAATTAGTGAACAAGTACAAAACTACCCTTCATCTTACTTAACATCATTTTATTGTCTTCATATTTTTTGTCTTTTTTCTTGCCTTCACATGCTTAATTGTTGTTATTATCACTATCATTTGTCATGTTATCACTAGTCACATGATTAATTTTGTGCTAAGCAGTGAAGCATTTACAGAGGATGACTGGAAATTAGTTCAGCTGGTGCTTACTTTATTTCGCAACATTCTAGCTATCCAAGACATCCCTCTGCATGAGAAGGCTGGGGGATCTGCCACACAATTCTTATCCCTCAGAGATAAGTTTCTAGAACTACTGTTCCGTGAGAATGCCACGGACTTGATCTTAGTTCTAACGCAGCATATTGGTGGTTCTTGTGGCTATATCCGTCAAGATAACTTGCTTTTATTGGAAACTTTCCATTACATATTTATAGGTCAAGAGCCAGAGTTGATCGCTAAAGCATATTCAAAGGGATTGAAGGTTGGTCTCTGTTCAATAATTTCCAGCATTTTTTAGCAATAAATTAAAATAGTTTGTGCCGTTTACAGGAAGGAAACTGGCTGGAATTAATTGTGTTAATGTAGAAGAGAAAGAGAGTTTGGGAGAATGAGAGAGCTTAATCACAAGGGTTAACTCGTCTAAATATATATATACAACAAGTGTGGATACAATGACATAAATACTTTTAACACTACCTCTCAAGATGGTGCATATATATATACCATATGTAACAAGCTTGTTACATATATATCTCACTCTAGAACCACACAAAACAAATCTGCTAGCTGATCTCTTGACTTTACATGACTCATACGAATCACATTCTATGACAACTTTCCTCTAATAAAATGGCAATCAACCTCAATGTGTTTTGTTTTCTCATGGAACACTAGATTGGAGGCATTGTGAACTGCTGCTTGGTTATCACATCACTAATTCATAGGATGATGGTGCTGCAATCCAAGTTTTTCTAACATATGTGTCAGCCAAATTAACTCACATGTAATATATGTCATAGCTCCATATTAAGACTCAGCACTGGAGTGGGATGGGGATCCAGCCCAATTTGAACATGACAATGATCCATAGGAGAGTATAGTAGGTTTAGACTCCAACATCCGTGTTTCACTTAACAAATCAAGAGCATACTTTCTTTGAGATGAAGAGATTCCCTGATATGACCTGGCTACTTCAATTCCTAAAAAATTTCCCAATTACCCTAGACCTTTGGTATGAAATTTATTCTGAGAAAGCACTTCAACTCCTGAATACCAACACAATCATCACCAATAATCACAATGTCGTCCACATACACAATCAACAATATTCGTCCAATTACAGTATGACTGTAAAACACAAAATGATATACCCCACATCTCTGAAGACCGGCAATCACAATATCAATCTCCCAAACCAAGCGCAATGGGATTGTTTGAGTCTATAAAACGACATTTTTAAATGACATACTAATTTTGACTCCCTTAGAGCAACAAATCCAAGAGGTTGCTCCATATAAACTTCCTCGTGGAGATCACCATGAAGGAATGCATTCTTTACTTTCAATTGATGTAAAGGCCACTCAAATGTAGCAGGAATACAGACAGACAAATAGACAAATGGAAGCAATTTTTGCCACAGGCGAGAATGTCTTAAATTACTCAAGATCATAAACTTGGGTATATCCCTTGGCGACAAGACAAACCTTCAATTGTTCAACAGTATCATCAGGATGAACCTTGACCACATAGACCCATTGATAGCTGACAACAGATTTGCCCAGAGGAAGAGATACTAAGGGGTGGTTTGGGATGTTCTAAATAAGTGTATTTTTTGAATTTTTATGAAATATGGGTTGAGTATGGGTTGGGTTTGAAGTGATGTGGTAGAGAGGTGATGTGACTTAAATAGGATAGTGACTTTTTAACTTTTTTAGTATATGCCAAACAAGGACCAAATCCCACGTACCATGATTTTAGGCAAAGCCTGCTCTGATACCATGTTTATGTAGAAGAGAAAGAGAGTTTAGGAGAATGAGAGAGCTTAGTCACAAGGGTTAGCTCCTCTAAATATATATATATATAGAACAAGTGAGGATACAACAACATAAATACCCTTAACAAATTGGAACTAAATATATGTTGAGTTTTTTAATTTTAATTCTGGGTTCCACTTTGAAGACCAAGAGACAAAGAAATTAAAAGGAAAAAGCCAAAGCAAAAAAAGGATTATGACATCCACCTTCATAGCGTTAAACTCTTTAAAGAAGAAGATCATTTGGGTAAATAAATTTATATAATCATATTGGTTTGTGAATGTATGGTTTAGTTCTTATCAATTATTTTTGTAATATCTCATGCTTGTTATTAAACTAGCTCATAGTAACCACTATCAAACAGCATCTTTGTGATAGACTACTTAAAAGGGAGATTTTATTCAATAGGTGGACGGTGATGCCAAAACTTCTATCAACAGTCTTAGGTCCATTATGGAAGAGGAACAAGAAAAAAGAAAGCTCACCAGACTACGCAATTTGGGTTGTTACTCACAATTTACTGGAACTTTTACTCGGCTAACCATGGTATGTTCTTGTCACTGCTATAGATGCACATGAAGAATTATTTACCAACTTTAGCAACTTAAGCAACATTTTAAAACAGGATGGTTCTAAAACATTATGCAAGGGAAACCCATGTTCTGCCTCTCATGATCCTCTGCACAATTCTCATAAAGTCCATCGAGGTCCATTGAAAAGAGTGGTGTGGGACTATGGAAGATTACCATCAACAAGGGACAATACTCTAGAATTGCTCCATGATTTTGTTAACCAGCTATTGTCAGGGGGTTACAATGGTATACTTTCTGTAATTGAAATGAAAGTTTGTGTTTTTTAACCTTTTCTTCTTTAGTCTCCGTACAATACTGGTGCATGTTCTTACCCTGCTGTCAATGGTTTCAGTGTTAATGGAGTCCATCTGTGAGGATGTTGAAAAGGAACACCATACAATTCAAAATAGTGATGTCATTATTTTCTTTCAAGTTGCTCAATTTATTACGTCTTTTCAATATCATAAATCTGTGTGTTTGAAGGTGAGAAGTTATACTCAACTCATATCTCAATCTGTGCATCTTACATTCTTATGTCTATTGACATGCAATTTATTTTTGATGGGTGATACTCTGCATTCTTCATTTGTGCTTACTGCTTTGAAATAAAAAAAACCTCTAGATTCTATAATAATGATGAGTGCCTGATGCTGCCAACAACTAGCAGAACCTTGATATGATTTGGATAATTTAATTATTTGAATATGATAATTGATGATGTGAGTTGTGAAATGAACCGGTGTCTGTCAAAAAAGTTGTATACGCAGAGAGTTAGGGCATTAATAAATTGCGACACATATATTTTGTTTAGGCATGTATATGTGCCCATGTGTAGAGTGATTTATAGTCTCATTGTAACATATTCTTTACTTTAATTAATCTAATTTGCGGTTCGGAAAATTATGAACTCAAAAGTGAAAGCAGACCTGAAACAATTAAAAGGGTATTTCAGGATTAGCAACATTTTCATTTTAAGTTTGGAATTGTATGTTTGATGATACTGGTTGGAATGATATGGTGGCAAAAATCAAGAAATATCCATGTTTGCATCAAGTTTGCACCAAGGAATAAGGTACTAAACTTGTATCTTTAGCTGTGAAACTTTCCGAGGAGATGGAGAAGGGACTAAAACATGGGATGATGTTATATATGTGCACGTGTGAAATTGTGATTATCGGAATGACAATAGCTATTTTCTCACTAGGTGACTAATTAAAAGGCTAGGGAGAAGAAGAAAGATCACCCTCTGCTGTATATTGACTTTTGCAAATCTTGTTTAGGAAGAGATCTCATAGTGCATCTCGCTTGTTGACGGTGCAGTTTTATCAGATGAAACAAGAGGAAGGGTAAAGATGAGCATGACATGATGATTGATATGGGGAATACTGAAAATTGATGTTTATGCTATCTTGGATTTATTATCCACTAGGAAGATTGAAAAGGACAACAGTCATAGAATTGTGGTGGGATAGATGAAGTGGAAATTGTGATTTTTAAATGTTGGGGTTATGTTGCCATTAAGGATCCCCTTTATTGCACATAATATCATTTTGGCAACAAACATATAAAAGGATGCCCAATTAGATAAGATTTTTACCATTAAAGTTTGATGATATTGCATTTAGTTTTCTACATATTTAGATCTAGAAGTTCCGGATTATTTACATACCAAAGATTTAAACACTGACTGAATCTTTTGAATTGAAAATTTTGAAATGGTTTAACAGATGAAATTCAGATGAAAGACATGATTCCCTTGTCTGAAACATTTTCTTGTCTGCCCAATTTTGATTCTTCACTATTTGATAATTTCATTGATTTTTTTGTTGCTAAAATATGTGCATGCTTTATGGTTTTGTCTCAATATTGCCTTTCTTCATTGACGACAACTGAACTGCTCATATGGTCTCTCGTTGCTTTAACAGTCAAACATGAAAGCTGACCCATTTGAAGCTTCTGTAAATCATCATGCTGATAGCACATTGTTTGAAGGCAATTTATGTGGACCAATTGCTGCGTCTATGAATGAGTCAATGTTCCTGTTAGTCATTTCAAAGTGGCGTTATGCATATGACAGCTTGAAGCAGACAAATGAGTATAAATTTGTATCTGCAGCAGGATCTCTTATGAAAATCATGGTGATCTATGCTTCCTTGTTCTTCTTTCTTTTTTTTTTTTCTTTCTTTTCATTCCCCAACCCCCCCTCTTCTTCATATTTCAACATGAAATTCTATCCAACCTCACTTTTGATTGGGACATGGGCTTAATTTGGTTTGGTTTGGTTTGGTTTGGAGGTTGAAAAGTTAATGACTGCATGTTTCTCTTGCCTGTGCATGCACATAAAAATGCATAGATGTGTTGATAAAATTACCTAATATTCACCTGCATGAATTTTTATGTCAAAGTTTTTATTTATTTTATATTCGTTGGAGTCCTAATATCATTAGCATTATAGTTAATGTACCATTGCCCATAGGAAAAGGTTTAGCATTGCATATTTGCATAAGTAGATTAAATCATTTTTTATATTTTGAAGGATTTAAAACAGCTGATGCTGCAGTATGAACAAGGGGGTGTGCATGGGTTGGTTTTGGGGGGAAATCATCAACCAAACTTCCCTTGGTGGATTTAGAATTTCCAACCTGCCCATCCTAAAAACAGGAGGGTTGGTTCAATATTTGGCAGTTTCGAGCCAATGGTTTAAGTGGGTTGGATGGCTTTGAAATACAAAACGAGGAAAAACATATATATTTTCTAAGTTCGACCAAAAAATTATTATTAATTCCAAATCTCAACACAAAATCCATAAATTAATCAAATGCATTATGTTATTAAAATCACTTTTTGCAACTCAATATCTGAGACAATCAAATTAAGAAAAAAAATATGCAACAAAACTGAGGGTGGGTGTTATCTAATTAATGGTATTAGGTTTATGGGGGGATTCTTTTTAGACAACTGCAAGGTAGTTTTACACATACACATAGGTGGGTTGGGTTGGTTTATGGTGGATTAATAATTCTTAAATTGCATGCCAACCAACCTGTTGATTTTTTATCATGTGACCCGCTCACCTTTTTAAACCACACAGGTGGCTTTGAGTCGGTGCAAAGTTGACAGGTTGGTGGATATTTTGTACACCCTTAGGTATCAACTATCATTTTTGATCTTGCAAGTTGGATCTGATCATTTGTAGTTTTTTGCTTTTTCTATTAAGGGTTGAGAACTTTGCAAAGCATGTTATAGTATGCATACCACTTTTTTCATCATCATGTCAACATAACAGCATGAAAAAAAAATAAAAAGAACTTCATGACTGGTGTAACTTTAAAATAAAGGTATTATCTACTATTTTCTTTCATATCTTGAATCCTTGATTCAGCCCAATGTTTTGAAAGGTGTTATTCATGGATACTTCAAATAGGGAGACGTAATTGTATCGTATCCATATCGGATATTGATACTCCTTGGATACTTGAGGATATGTATCGGATAATTGGATACTTCTTAATTAATTTTTCTTTAATTTTGGAGTATCGGATATTTAATTTTGAAGTATTGGATACATATTACTTGTTTTACAAAATTAGAACTGTAACATTTCTTGCATAGTATAGTATAACATAATTGCAAGGATAAATAAGCAAGTAAACTTGAGGATATAACAAAAGTAAAATTAAATAGCAATAAATAAATAAGCAAGTAAACTTGAATACAAGATTTTTTATTAGTGTCAAAAGGAAAAAGCATAGAGACAAGTTGTGGATTGTTCATTATTGTAATATAAACATAAATGAAATATTTGCAAGACCTATTGCAAATTTAAAAGTTAAACAAGCTACTAGCTTAAATGAATACCTAATTCTTAAGGTTAGTATTTTGCATTATAAATTACATTGTGGTTTCTCAACATTTAGCTTATGTGTTACTCATTGCTAATAGTTTTAAAAATACATTTTTCACAAACGTATCCTAGCCAGACTTGTATCCTATTTTTTAAAGTTTTTTTTTATCGCCATATCCATATCATATCGTATCTGTATCTATGCTTCCTAGGTGTTATCGAGGCTCACATCGAGGCTCACCTTGAGATGAGGCTAAGAGGCTTTGATTTTTAGGTGACATTGCCCAAAGGCTTGCGCATCATAGCTTAGGCGTGTGCGTCAAGTGCATCTTATGTGCCTTTTGTGCACAAATATGCGAGGATTATGCATATAAAGGCTTGTGTTACACTGTTGCTAAATTAGTCTAATACATAATTTAAACATAAAAAATATTCTCTTTTGTAATTATATTCCATGGAACAAAAAATTAAGTAAAAAGAAAAAAAATAAATAAGGATTCATTAAGAAGCTTGATAACTACTCGGTAACTATGTGGGATAGAGTGTCATTTGGCATTGTTTTGGGTGTCCATTTCAGCTCCTTTTAAGGGGATTCCATTTGAAGCTTGATAACTGAAGAATATCATTTTCACATTCGATGAGAGCAAGCTTTCTTCTCTACAGTGAGATTTCGATGCCTCGAGGAGAAAAAGTTTTTACACCTTTGTATTTAATTTTAACATTCTTTATTATATTAAAATATTTTGTTTATTTACTAAATATAAAAATTCAAAATTCGAAATGGTTACACCTTGAGGCTTATACCTCACCTCATGAGGGGCAAAAGTAAACTCCTAGCATTAAACATTTCTCTTTGAAAACTTTGATTCAGTCCATTCAAGTGCTGTCCCAACTCTCTGTGGATATGTGAGGTCTTTCGCCATCCCATTTTCTGTCTATTTTGCACTCTTATTGCATTTCTTTTAACGGAAATGCTGGAGACCCCCAGCATTTTGGCACCCCCAGTGCCACATGGGAGGCTGCCAATGGCCAAAAACAAAGAAAAAAAAAAAAGAAAGTTTTTTCAACCAATCACAAAGGACCCCCAGCACCCCCACTGGGGGTCTCAAGCTTTATTCTTCTTTTAATAACCATCAAATAATATATGCCTCCGTTAATAAGCTTTAACAGAAGTAGTCTCAAAAGAAATGTTCATGTATTTCTTGTCGTTTATATCCTGTTTGTGTTCAGTAATTCATGAACTGCTTCTTCCTAATGGATGGCTGTTCTTTTGCAGACTTTTTTCAACATAGTAAATGCTTAACATCTTACTTGAATAGTTTATCTTGCGCTTTATAGTGTTGGTACATGGCACTTTATTAACTACCAGTTTAGTGCATTTGCTACCTATGTTACATGGACTCTTCAAATTAAATCAAATACCCGTGTCGGACACCCGACACTCGGACAAGGGTATGGGATATGTGTCGGATACTTTTCAACGGATACTTCTTATATAATTGTATATAACACTATTATTATATGTATATATTGTTATATAATTGCTATAAATGTCATTTTGACACTATAAGTTAAATATAATACCATTTTATCTCACATATTAGATTAAAAATATAAAAATATGACATTTTTTTGCCGAGTCCGCGCATCCTTAAATTTATGATTTAATGAGTCCGACCTCTAGATACATACCCGCACCCGACACCCGTACCCGAGTCCATGTAACATAGTTTGCTACAGCCTCAAAATATTCGAGTCACAATGTTGTGCATATTGCTTATAAGTAGATTGTGTTTGTCTTATTTCTCGCTTTCCTCTTCGATTTTTTTTTTTTTTTGGAAATTGCTGTCTGCTTGATTTAGGATTATGCCATCTGTTTTTATAGTGTCCTTTTTAACAAGAATAGCTTTGTTTTGTGTAGATTCGTATGTTGGATTTAGTGCTTAAGGTATCACCTGAAGATTCTAAGGATCCTCAAACAGCTCGCATCCTTCTTTACAAGTTATTCTATGATCAAACTGATCAAGGAATGACTCAGTTCCTTTTGAACCAGATGAAATCATTTGATACTCATAAACAAGCCAAAAGGTTTTGTTCTTGCACTTCAGCACCTTAAAATGTTTATTCTCAATTTGTGATTATGAATTTTGTGTCAAGTAAGTTACTTGCACCTATGGAACTTCATATAATAGAACTATAATAAAGTCTTGACAAACCTAAAATAATCTCTTATATTGTATCATATAATCCTCTTTGCTTGTTTTTAAATTCACGGTGTTGATCACATACTTCTTAAAAAAGGGGAACTTGTTTTATATTCACAATTCCGGTTATTAGTACATCATAAAACTTTTCCACTTCATAATTCTGCAAGGACAATAGCTTTCTGAATTAATCTTCCTATTTGTTTATCATCATAATTTTAGTTCTTTTGCAGCATTTTTCTATGAGATATGTATGTACATATGCATGTGCAAAACTTTCAAAATTGTTGTGCCCATAATTTTTGTTCATTTTGCGGCCTCCTTCTAGGACTATGTATCTGTATATCTGCATGCCAGTTTTCTGAATGTATTCCAGTTTCATATCAAGCCGCATGGCCTATGCGGGTTGTCTTGGTACTTAGTAGAACTTATAACGCAGATATCTGTGCATATAAGTGAATGAAGTAACATATACATTCTGAGTAGAATTGTGAAGAGATTCTTGGTTTAACAAAATGCTTGCCAAAAACATTTGTACGTGACTACATCCCAGCATAAAGGGATTATCTCAGAGTCTCTGTATGTAATGTACAATTTTACACAAGTTGTGCATGCGTGCAGTATGCAGATCAAAATTGTCATGCTTTAGACCTGTTTAATTGTCTTGCTGATTATGCTATTTTGTCATTTGTTCATGCCAGTGATCTTGCCGATTTGGTAGAAACAATACATGTAGTTATACGACTCATCGAGAACCTTGAAGCACGTGGCACATTAAGGGTATGTCCTTTTTTACATTGATTTGTGGCAAATTCTAAATAGACTCCTATTGTGTAGTAATTTTCAATTTCCTTTTAATGTTTGCAATGAAAATTGTAGAAATTAGGTTTGCAGGTCAAGCAGATGGGCCATTTCTTAACCTAACTTATAAAGATATGGGGATAGATACATGAAATCCCATTTTGAGGCTTCCACCTATGTTGGGCCAACAAATACCAAAATATGACAAATGGTTTGGAATTCAATAGACCTGGTGATCAACCATAACTAAAACATGACTGGAAACAGTTGTATGTGTGCACTGATTAGTAGTTACTTTATGCCTCTCCTCTGCAGCAGTTTACTAATGGTAACATTATGAATGCTTATGATTTGATTGAGTATTTTGCTAATCTCTGTAATATTCATGAACTCATTTGACAACAACATAAATAAGCTGCTTATTGGCTTATTTAGGTCACATCACTTCTCTATTTTTCTGCATGTCTTTTGGTAGTAAGCAAAAAAACCAACATATAAGCCATACCCAAAACAATTTTTTTTTTTTGTGACTTTAAGTTCTATCATCTGCTCTCCACTATCGCCTAAAGCATCTGGCAAATTTCTGTAAACCAAACCAAACCAAACCAAGCCTTAAGTCTCATCAAATGGGGTCGGCTACATAAATCTTTCTTCTCCATGCGGCCCTATCGGTGGCCATTTTGTTAGTCAAATTAAGTAAATCCATATCTCTATTTACAACGCTAACCAACGTTAATCTAGGCCTATCCCGTCCCCTACACTTCCATCTACTGTTGCAATATCGCATCTCTTCACTACTATCTCTGTTGGTCTCCGTTGAATATGACCAAACGATCTCAATCAATTCTCTCTCAACTTATCTTCTATCGGTGCTACTCCTACCCATTTCCGAATATACTCATTCATAATTCTGTCTTGTCTAGTCGTGCCACACATCCACCTTAGCATTCTCATCTCAGCCACACTCATCTTATCTACATGTTGTTTCTTGGTTGCCCAACACTCTGTCTCATACATCATCGCTGGTCTAATAGCCGTTCTATAGAACTTACCTTTAAGTTTAGTGGGTATTCGTTTATCGCACAGTACCCCAAACGCACTTCTTCGCTTACACCATCCCGCCTTAATCTTATGAGTCACATCCGCATCAATCTCTACTGTTGTTGTGATAATCGACCCTAAATAACGAAAATGTTCACTCTTAGGAATTTCTTGGTTTTCAATCTTCACTTCTCATCTGCATTCATTGTTACTATTACTAAATTTACACTCCATGTATTCTGTCTTAGTTCTGCTTATCCGGAATCCTTTAGATTCAAGAGCTTTTCTCCAAATCTCCAACTTTGTATTAACTCCTTCTCTAGTCTCATCTACTAGCACTATATTGTCTGCAAAAAGCATACACCATGGCACGTCATCTTGGATATTTCTCGTTAACTCATTCATAATTAAAGGAAAAAGATAAGGACTTAAGGTAGATCCTTGGTGTAACCTTACAGTGATAGAAAATTCATTTGTCTCTCCAGCAGACGATCTAATAGTGATTACCACCCCTTCATACATGTCCTTAATCACATCAATGTAACCTTTTGTCATCCCTTTTTTTGTTGACACCCACTATATTATATCCCGGGACACTCTATCATATGCTTACTCAAAGTCTATAAACATCATATGAATGTCTTTTTTCTTTTCTCTATACTTTTCTATTATTCTCCTCAAAAGATAGATCACTTCCATTGTTGACCTGTCTGGCATAATTCCAAATGGATTCTCTGACACCTCTGTTATATCTTGCAATCGGCGTTATCACCCTCTCCCACACTTTCATTATATGACACATTAGCTTGATTCCTCTATAGTTGTGGCAATTCTAGACATCTCCTTTATTTTTATAAATTGGCACTAACATACTATTCCTCTACTCATCGGGCATGTTCCTAGTCAACAAAATTTTGTTAAACAACCTAATCAACCAAGCAACCCTTTTTTTACCCAAACACTTCCAAGCTTTAATAGGGATATCATCTAGGCCTAAAGCCTTATTTGATTTCATCTTCTTAAGTGCAAACTCCACTTCGAAGTTCCTAATCCTGCGATAGAACTTATAGTTTTGGTTTATCGTATTACTGGCTATTTCTTCTCCTATTGCCGTACCTCTGTGTTCCTCATTTAATGGTTTCTCAAAATCGTTCTTCCATCTTTCATTAATCTCTTCATTCCTCACTAATACTTTAGAATCCTCACTCTTGATGCACTTAACTTGATTAAAATATCTTGTTTTCCTCTCCTGTAACACCCCAAAGATTTCCAACATAATTTAGGTACATCAACCAACATTCATTAAAGAATAATAGCAATCCTCCAATTATCATATCATTGATGACTAAAGTTTGTACAAAATAGTCTCACATGCAAATTATACATTCAATGATATCAAATACATGAATCTATAGCATGTAGAATGTTGAATTCAAAAATAAATAAAATGCCTTCAAGGGGCTTACATATTCCAAGGCTTAAGCTTGGTTACACCAAAAATGGTCTCTCGGACCCAAAGAGTTATAGCCCTAGGCTTACAAAAAAAAATACAATCACAACAAAACAGAGCCTTGTACTCTAGATATGTACATTCACGCCCTAGATTGGCGGGTTCACCACGTCATTTTCTGTACCAAAATCCTATAGGGTGAGCATAAAGCCCAGTAGAGAATTTTTAACAAAGTATATACATTTTATGCAAGATTTTCATTATGAAATGCACATGCCATACTATGCCTTTTAAAAGAAAAATCACTTTTGCTCATCTTTTGAAAACCATTATGCTCAATGATAACTTGCAATCTCAACAATTCACAATTTACAATTTACAATTTAATTCAATGGGGTGGTAAATATGACTCTACAAGTAGGCATAGCTAGCACTACCAAAACCCCACTTTATCGGTTGCTAACTGGGAGGGAAATGGTACCTCCTCCACGCATGTTTTCGGTCTTTCGGCGGACACTCAAGCCAACTTATTCAATTCTATCTACACCACCTATCCGGACTTACCAACGTCTTTATCCCAAAACATTTCGATAGTTTCATTTCACCACATTTCTTTCTCAATGTAAATGTTTTCAAATCCCAACTCAAAATTTGTAACTATGCAAATATATAGAAATGCCAATGCAATATATATGTCAAGGCAAACAATAATCTTCCATTAATAATATTTTCCGCACAATTCCTCCAATTCAATCGCAATACCCATTCTACTTTCCAATGCAATTTCATCAAATATCACTTAGGAATATATATATATATATATCCAAGTGTAGCAACATTTTCACATTTCATGTGTTCACAACAATTTGCCATTTCATAACTATGTATGCATATGCATCTAACAATAAATTCAAAACAAAATCTCCAAATCTTCATACACCAAGAAAATTGCTATTTTTGCAAACAATGATATGAAATTTTCACTCATTCATTCACTTAACACAAGAAGATCCATAGATTCTCAACATCATTCAAAAACCCCCAATTTCTAGGTTTTTCATTAAAACTAAACATTCCTCATCCCTCGGTGGAATCTCACCAAAATCATCTTTCTTAAATCAATGTGATTCAAATCTTCAAGAAAATCTTTTAGAGGAAACAAGAGATGAACCCCTCTTTCAAAACTACCAATTTCTTAACCCAAAAACCAAATTTTCAATGCCATCGAAGAGGGAATCTCTAAATTTGCTTAAACTTGCAAAAAACACATATATAACTCTAAGAAAGTCCCTACCTTAAGTTTTGATGAAAAGAAGAGATGAGATGAAACCCCAAAATCAATGGTCTAGAAATTTGATCTCCACCGCACAAAGTGAAGCCCTTGCTTTGCTCTCCAAAGTTTGTGAAGGATGATGGAACAAAGCCCCAATAGATTGCAAGAAATCAAGAGTTTTTGGTGTTTGGTGGAGGTTTTTAGAGAGGAGCAAAATGATTTTAGAGTGAGAAGGATATGTTTTAAAAGTGATATACATAGTCCAAAAGAGAGAAAGAAAACAGAGTTTTCGGACCCAGGCCCATCCCGCACGTGCGACCCTCATCCCCGCACGTGTGGCTCTCCCATTCTGCACCTCCTCCCGCACCTGCATATAATGTAGTGAGCAGCCCAGAACTTCCCTGTCTCCCACACGTGCGGCCTCACTCCCCGCATGTGTGGCCCCTCTTCTGCATGTGCGGCCAAGGCCCCCGCATGTGCGGCTCAGCCTTCTAGCCCGAAATCACTCCGGCTCGACTCGGAAAACCCCGGATCCAACCTCGCACTTCCCGAAATATGAGAAACTTGACACGGAAATCAAATAAAAGTAAGGACTTGGGAATAAGCTTCCAAACCCAACAAACCCAACCCGTTAACAAGTCTCCCGGTCAAACCGACACTCCAACTAGACAAACCCAAGGTTAAATGAGGGAAAACGAAACGAATAGCGCACCCGGTCATCACATCTTCCGTATCTTTCCCTCCTTACTAGCTAGTCTAGTGTATAGGTTATCATAAGCTTTCAGCTTAGCCTCTCTTACCATTTTCTTGACCTCCTTATTAGCCAATCTATAGCTCTTAAGGTTTTCTTTAGTTCTATCTTTTTGCCACTTTTTAAAGCACTCTTTTTTTGTCTTAATTACCGCTTGAACCTCTTCCTTCCACCATTAAGTTTCCCTAAAGCTGGGTCTTGTTCCTTTCAACTCTCCAAGCTAAAATCAAAAAGTAGAAGTTAAAAGCATTTCTTTCTCCACTTCTCAATAATTAGTTTTTTTTTTTTTTTTTTTCCCCAGCTTTTTAAAGCTATTTCTGCCTCATAAGCTGTAATGTAAGCAGAAGTTGTATCAAATAATCTGAAACAAATTTCTAAAATAAAAAAAAGAAAGAAGAAACTATTAGCATCTCTATAAACCGCACCAAATAAGGTAAATGTCAACATGCCTTTTTCTTTTAAAACATGCTATATGTTTTTTCTGAACTTGTTTGTGCCTTTGTTAACAGATTTGTTACTATAATAACATGCAAATGGCCTCTTTATGTATGCATATATATGTATTTGTTTTGGTTACTCAAAATATGCTGCTGTAATAACATGCAAATATACATATATATATATACATATATATCAGCTTTCAATTCCTTTGACTCGTTATGACTTGTTCTCTGCTTTTGTGGATTGGAAAGCCTTTTGTTTCACTTTCTCTACATCTGAAGTGTGAAATTTTCTTGTGGTCAAGGTTTCTAGAAAGTCGAGGAAGAAGAGAGCAAAGAAAATCATGAATGACAAGAGTAAGATTGATCAACCAGTTGGAGATCATGTTCCCCTTCAGAATGAGGTCTCTAACCCTGGTTGTGAACAATCTGCACATTCAAGCATGTTATCTGAGGAGAAGTTGATGAATCCAAGTTCTGATGTGAACGGGGAAGAGACAGCAGAACCTTTTCAGGTTGATAAGCCTGAAACGAGTGAGTTAGACACACTTAATCATGAAAGCAATCTTCCAGGGATGAAAAATACGAAGTCTGATGTAAATTGTGATGGAATTGATGATTCTTCTAGTGATGAGCAGCTACCTGTGACTAATGAAGTTGATTTTGAGGCATCTGCTTTGGTTTCTGCCCTTGCAAGCAATGCCCTTATTCAAAATTTGTGTTGGTTGCTGAAGTTTTATAAAACCAATTCCACGAGTACAAACCACTACATTATATGCATGCTGCGGAGAATTTGTGATGATCTGGAGCTTTCTCCAATGCTATATCAGGTAAAGAGTGGAAACAATTTATCTTTCTAACATTATTGAAGAGTTATAATTGTTGACATTTCATGTGGATGTCTTCCTCACAAACTTTGCAGTTATCCCTTTTAAATACATTCTACATTATCCTGGCTGAGCAGAAGTCAAGTCCATGCAAGGAATATGAAAATATTGTTTTATTTCTGACGAGCTTGGTTAGGAGAATGCTGAGGAAAATGAAGAGCCAACCTCTTCTTTTTGTGGAAGTGCTCTTTTGGAAGACGCGTAAAGAATGCCATTACATCAACTGTGAATCATTATTACATGAGGTTGGCAACTTGAAGAGAGAAAGTGCGAAGTGGGGGAGTGTGTCTAATGACGGAGAAATGGGTTCAACTCAAGGGAAAGGATGGGTCCGTAGAAGCATAGCAGATGCATTTGGCGATGATGAAGCGGACTTTGTTATCTCACATGAGATGGATAAGCAGAAGTAAGAAAAGTTTATCAGTACAATAATAAACTTTAAGACCATTTGTTCAGTATTTTTTGTGTGGCTTCTGATAAGTAGGTTGATTCACTCATTTTATTGTATTATTACTGGTGAATCATATAGAACTATATTAGGATTTCAATTAGACTGACCTGTCATCAGGTGACAAATTACATAATCTGGAAATGTTAGTAGTTTGTTATTTCCCCCCTTTTAATTTATGTTCATCAAAGCTTTCATTGATTGTATGATATGTAAAATATAATCATGAAGGGTTTGTAACTTATTAATAATTGTGAAAAGGTAAACTGGGAATATCATTTTTTGAGATGATTTCTATATGTAACCGTAGGGAGGAGGATCCTCATGAGGTTTTGCAAAGAAGCAAGCGAAGTAATGGGGAAAGGAAGGAAAACATCACATCAATTTCAAATGACAGAATCCAGAGGAAGGAAAATTCTGATAGGTAGTGTTCAGATTTACAGCTCTTGGAAATGCTTTGTCACTTCCCATCTCTTGGTTTAAAAACTTATTTTCATTGCTTCTATCTGTTGCAGTGAGGGACATTTTGAACATGTGTCTCAAGGGGTATCTAATAGAAGGAAAAGTCTGGTTATCAATGAAGATCTGGAACGACAAATTAAGGGTCTATATGAAAAGTGAGTGTCATTTCATGCATATGTTCTATATTGCAAAGATTTGATCATGAATAGCCATTGTAATTATTACATATACATTTTAATCATGATAGAATTTAAGCATATTAAGTTGCATTTTCAATTATTTGACTTGTATTATCGAAGTGATTAAGCAGTTGCTCTTTGAAATTCTAGATGTACTCTCCATTATGATGGGACTTAGAATTAGTAGTATTAGCAATGATTAATTCATAAAAATGAAGTGGTCCATATATTTTTTTTCTTTCTGACTCTTCTTTCCTTGAGCTATGTTATACAATTCTTTAGATTTGTTCCATTTTCATAATGTATTTTCTGATTGCATTGTTGAAAAATATGATGACTCAAGATACAAGAACAGTCGGCATTGTAGTCGTCTCATTGCTGAAGCCCTCGATCAAGATGGAAAAGTTTCACCAGTGCAGGTTTCCAACAAGCTTAGACAGCTTGGACTGAGAGTCCTACCAAAGAAAAGGATGCTTCAGGCTGGGGCTTCTATCCAACCTAGGGAAGAAGGGGCATCGGGAAATGAGTTGAAGGAAAGTTCTGTACTCAAACCTCTGTAAGTAGTTTTCTACATGTATGCTTTTTGGATATGGCATTTCTTTATGCTATTTGTCTATGTTTAAGAAAATAATTTGGCTGCAAGACAAGTCTTTAGGCACTTGCATTGAAGTTTGAAACTATTAAAAGCATTGGTCAAGGTTTTTGGGGCTGGGTACAAGTTCAGCTGGCTTTTGTGGTCAATCAGCTAATTTGTTTGCTTCTTTTCAGGCACACTAGAAAAAGAGTACGTGCCTTTAGCGAAGATCAGGAGACGATGATTAAAGATTTATTTGAGCAGTGAGTGCTTGATTAATGCTTAACAATCTTACGCTTGATATCTTCCAGACAATTTATATTGAAATAACAACAGCTATCTCAGGTGTATATGTTGAATTTAAAGCATTATCCTGTTGTTTGATTTCTGCAGGTTTAAGGATCAAAGGAGGTGTAGTCACATGATTGCAAATGCACTGGATGCTGATGGCACTTTCACAGCAGCACAAGTTTCACGCAAACTCAAGCAACTCGGCCTTCGAGTTGCTCAGCAGAAGAGACCCAAAGCCGAGACGCATTTGAAGGATGAGGATGTTATTAACTTTTCTGCAGAAACTGCAGAACACTCTGACAATGAAACATTATTATCACTGAAAAAAAGGTACTTATCCATCCTTGTTTCAAATTATCCCTGTGTGTGTGTGTGCAATAATTTAAGCTATGAAACCTAAAAAGTTCAACTGTTGAAGTATTCCAATGGGCATGCACCCCAGTCTGTATCTTTCAGAACAACAGTCAGTATACAGGGGTTCAACATGGATATCATAACAAACTCAAAAAGACCAGAAATGTGGACCTCCATCATGACTCGTTCCCAATTCAAGTTAACCCATCCTTAAAACAGTTGTTAATGGGTGTTTTCTCTGCCATTATTATGACGAGTCCATTCCTTATTGTTGGCCATCTATGAAGCACGTGTACTTCGACAAACATGCCATACCCGTACTGGGTACTTACCGGCGTATGATACTTTATATGATAGTTCTGCATATGTACTGGGTACACGAAATATGTACCTAAATTTTTTCTTCTTAATTTTGGCGTACCAGACGTACCTAGTATATACCCAAGCCATATTATACTTCCGTCGAAATAATATTTTCTTCTACTACTGAGATAAAATTCATTTTACTAGACTTTTTTTTTTTTATATAGTTTTATGTTTAGTATGATTTTAAAATTAAGCTATAGTTTGTAAGTTATTTAATATAATGACATTTAATTTTAATTCATACCTTTATTTTTGGCATTAAATATTAATTATAGGTTGAATCTGAATCTTAACAAATTAAGCCACTTAATCAATTTTTTGCATTATTCTAAATTAAAAATAAATATTTTTTTATAAATGTACCAAGCCATACCCGTACCCTAATTTTTTTAGATTTTACCGTATCGGCGTACCCATATCGTACTAGTACCAATACTCGTACCCGTCTCCGTGCTTCATAGTCGGCCATTGCTATGTGATTGGCAGGCCAACATGCCTTTTCTAATCACCTCAATTTATTTCATTTTTCCTTGTTCTTGCATCAATTCTAAACCACATTGTTCCCACTGGACTGGCCTTGTCATTTGTCTACGCTTACCCTCAAGTTCATTTTAAACGATTCTAGAAATCTTTTTGTAATCTGTCGCGAGCACCTGTTAATCTCATGTGTTACTTATCCATCTCAATATCCGTTTACTGCTATACTAATTTTGTGGGCATGTCTATAAGTGCTTGAACATCATTCAAATCAAACCTCAAGGCATGCGTGGTGATAGCCATCTCGTACAATTTCTTTTCAATTTTCATGGGCAATGCTTAGAATCATCTTTTCATTACCTTGACAGTATTCTCTGTCTTTCCAATGCTAATTTTTTAAAAGAAATGCAGCTAAAATTAGATGGAACATTAACTAGAATTTGTGAAGTTTGCTTCGTAGAGCAAGATAGTGAAATGAGATACTTATATTTCACCCCAAGGAATTATTTCATTTTAGGACTCTTGCTGACTTGGAATTTAAACAGACTATATCTGAAAGGAATTTGCAAGAATTATTCATTGTTTCTATTAGTTTAATTGATCTTTGGAATTTTAGGAGCAAAAACAAGAAGATTGAAAGAGAAAATAAGGACATGGAAAACCAGAAAATTGAAGGAAAAGTGTCACATGACAGTTCTGAAGATGAATTTCCGGGCTCTGTTTCGGGGTAAGTGCACTTTCTCTTTCTTAATGGTAAAGCATGATTTTGCATATGGTGAATGTTGATGATTATATTGTTTTCCTCTGCTTTGACTCTCTTCTCTCTCTCATTATACCATTAGTGTTTTGTTTGGTTTCTTAGAATTGGAAACATTTTGGCTGTTTTGATGGAAACAAATGGAAATTTTTTCCATGACATTCAGACTCCCGATGTCGATCCTCATCCGTGGGGGGTGCTGGAAGGGGTACTAGATAGATCTAACCTTTGAATTATTTGTGGGTAGGGGTTGCCCAGACCTGAACATGCATTCTCATGCTTGATAGTATGAACTTCTAACACTGCCATGCAATGTCCATGACAAAAAGTTTTCATTGTTTGCAATTCATTAACCGACTTTACAAACATATTTGAGTCCAACAAGGTTCTGACGATGGCTTATTAAGTGCCTGACTGCCTATATATTTTATTATGATTAGTGAACCTCAACAAATTTTAGTTTGCGAAGGCAAGGAAAGGCTACCATACATTAGTTTGGGAGAGCTTAAGTTTGAGGATAATTTTAATAATTTTTCGCTTTTTCAGGGATGGACATGAACGACCTAGTGGGATGGAAGTTGATGATGATGGTACTCTCAACCGTGCCGTCAATGCAGAAGCTCAAGCAACTAGCATTAGCAGTGAAAAGCAAGTAGGCACTATTGATGCAAATAATTTGCAGCATCAGCAACTGCATGATGAGCTGGAGGATCAATTGTCAGATTTGGGGGATGATGCGACTCCTGTTACATCCCAACATGGTGCTGTATTAAGAAGGAAGCTAAGGATGGTAATTGATCCCGAGGATGATGAATAGGAATGCAGCATGGGGTTATTTTATTTCATTGTTGTTCCCATTTTAGTTTTTTGGCTTGGATGCGATCAAATATGATGTAGATGTTGCACACAGAAGAATATTATTCATGTGCCTATGATGGCTTTTGTAGAGAGAAGTGCTACATTGTGTTATTCACTCTGGCTCTTAGTCAATCAGATTGAGTCATCTTAAAGATTAAAGATTATTTGAACATTGTATATGAAGAGTATGACTCATGGGATTCTTTTGCTAAATCCTTGCCTAATTATATTAATTTAATTTGATATGGAAAAATTTCGCTGAATGTCACAATCACAATTTGCTAAACTAAATCTTTGGACTATTCTGTTGTGGGTTGATGTGGCTTGAAACTGCTTGGGTTGGGTGTTTGTTGTTGTCTCTTTTTTTGCTTTTTTTGATATGAAGGAACTATGTTGAGACTGGAGAGGAAAAGCTTGATATTGGCTGAAACTAGCTCTGCGCTTCTAGGAGGATGAAATACTGAATGGAGCTGAAAATATGGCTTTCAGCAGAAACAGCAACCCAAGTTTAGTTTCTTTTTTTTTTTTTTTTTGGTCCGATTACATAGTAGAATAATCAGGTATTGGAATTACAGAGAGTAATGGGCTAAATTGTATTATCTTGAATAGTAATTTTTAAAGTAATTCAATTGAATCGACTGAGAATGATTTAACTATAAATTGAGATCACAAAAAACCTTAATTTAATTTAGGTGTTTTGTGGTCTCAATTTATAGTTAAGATGAAATATAACACGTGTTGAGATGAAATTCTACGTTAAGTACATGTTATATGTTATGCAATTAACATATAACACATGTTAATTGCATTTATATCTGTCTGTCGTAGAAATATCTGTTTGTGTTTCTGTTTTGCTCTGCGAACTGAGGGCCTTATTGGCATTCGATCACGAAATTAACTTGGTTTACGTGTTATTTGAAATTTTTAGAACATTATGGTTGGTTCAATTAAAATTTTGATTTGGAACCAAATGATTAGAATTAAATAATGCAAATTAGTTAACTTAAGCCAAGCTTAATTAAGCCCACTAAACCAACCTATATAAGGCTTCTTGACTACAACACTCTTGTTTTGTCATCCTAGAGAGCAAAATGAGAGAGAGAGAGAGAGAGAGAGAGAGAGAATTGAGTTCAACTAAGGAACTTGCTAGAGAATTAAGGGAACTTAAGAGGATAGTCAGGGAATTGTTCAACTTTGAGAAGATTAAGCCTTTACACTTGAGAATTCGAAGCTTGTAGGAATTCACTTCTTTAGTTGTGTAGTTGTAGCACTTAATGCATGAGTTCAAGAGAATTAAGTACATTAAATTGAGAATTAAGTTAAAGAAGTAGAATTAGGATTAAACCATCCATGTATGTGCATATCATGGAGTTTTGGAAGTTCATTTCAAAGTTTTCCTACATACATGTTCATATTTTGGTCTTGTTATGAGAATTCAATACATCTCATTCTACCAAGATTTGGAAAGTTTGAACTCAAGGAAATACATGCATGTTATATTTTCAACATTTCAAGTTTAGTTTTGTTCAATTGACAAAGCTTTTGGACTTGAATTTGCGAAATGGTTTCTAATTCTTTACTTACTATGAGTTTCTCAATGTTTTTACCAAGTTTTGGTCCAAAAGATTGTATTTTGAAGTGTTGAAATTGAGTTTTGAACTTGGGAAGCAAATCTGGAAATTTCAGAATTTGCACACTCCGCTCAAGCGTTGGAGTCTGCGCTCGAGTGAAGCTCGAGTGGTAGAATCTGCGCTCAAGCGACCACCCTTATATTTGTACCTCTGCTTGAGCAGCAAAGTCTAAGCTTGAGCGTAAAATTTATGCTCCTAGAAGTTTTACAAAATTTTTGCAAACCACTCGAGCGACCTAAGTTCCGCTCGAGCGGAGACCCTTTTTACTCAATCTTTGGCTCGAGCGACTGTCGAGTGTCTATCGAGCGGAAAATTCAAGCAACCAGAACTTTTGCAGACTTTGCAGACCGCTCGAGCGACTGAAGTTGTGCTTGAGCGAACTGCCCTCTTTTTGAAAATTTGACTAAATATTTTGAAGCACATTTCGGCATCCTCATTGCATCTTAGGCATTCTTAAGCCCTAATTAAGACATAATAATAGAGATAAGGATTAGAAACACACCAAGATAGAAATGAAATGAGTTCTATGTTTTCCAGACATGTGTTTCAGTGTGCATTTGTTATGTGTTTGTGTAGGTCACAGGCCATAGGCTATCTGATCCATCTATTCTGCTATTTTTTGCTATCGAAGCTATCTGTGAGTAACAACTCTGTAAAGCTATGTTTGATTATAAGTTTTCCTTACTGAAATGATATGATCTATTTTCTGAAATGCTATTTTATGAATTATGAATGAATGTCCATTTTTTCAAAATGTATTTGTGACATCCTTAGTTCACATGGCTTTCACTTGGGGGAAACAATATCGTGACATATGTTTATATGGCCTTCACCCGGGGAAAACAATATTGTGGCTTATGATCATATGGCCCTTACCCAGGGAAAACAATACCATGGTTTATACATGGCCCTTGCCTAGGGAAAACAATACCGTGGCTACTTGTGCACAAGATATGAACCTTTGGGGCCGTCAATACCGACTATGCATCTAGGTCCCAGGACTAAGATGATATGAAGGCTAATGGATGTACCGCATATAATTGCTTATGATTTCTGATGAATATATGAATCTAAATCTATTATGATATGAATTTTGATTTTGAGATTGTTCGGACATTATTCATAATTCTGAGATTGTTCGGACATCATTCATAAAACATTTACTTTATTGTTATTCACTAGGCTCCAACTCACCGTATTATTTATGTATGTAGGTGACCAAGCACATGACTAGGCTCAGCGTTGAAGGCCTGGAGTTCTGTTTTGTCCAGCCAACCACAGTGCCTCCTGAGGAGGTTCCTGTTTTGTAGTAGTCAAGCTTTTGTGAACCATGTTAAAGTTCTTTTCATATTTCTTTTGTTAAATATTGGACAAGTCTTTTGTTGGTCTATATGTATGAATGGTGACGTGGGTATGACCTCTTGATTGTGTAAGTTAAGTATGAAATTTTCTGTCTCGTGTATGTCTATATAGCTCTATGGACGTATATGTTTGTATTTGCTTCTGCTAGCCCCTGTATCTTGTTTAATTTGTTCAGAGGCCTTTGGTAATCCTAGGATTACTGGCCGGTTACGGCATTAAACCTATAGGGACGGGTTTGGATCGTGATGGAGTAGTATCAAAACACGAGTTATACCGCACACACGAGTCCATATGAGCTATAAGATGTCCTAGTAAGAATTAGGGACATTACATCTGCATGTGTGAGTGTGTGTGAAATATATGCACATCTCTGAACCAATATACATTGACACTGAAAATGAAATGAACTGAAATTGAACACTGTGGAAAGAATTATTTGCCTATGTTTATTGGTGCTCTGTTTACCTATAGCAAATGAAAAATATAAGTAGTGATGGTATAGCTGAATCTTCCGAAACTCGGATGAACCAAATGGAAAGAATACTTGAAGCTTTAACAGAAGTAATAATGCAACAACAAAGACAACAACCTTTGCCTCCTCCACCCCTTCCGGTCCAACTAGAGCCGGTTAATAATGACATCATCAGCTTGACTCAGAAATTCAATAAGATGAAGCCACCGACTTTCTTGGGTAGAATTGAACCTTTAAAGGTTGAAACATGGATGCTAGAAACTGAAAAACTATTTGAAGTCTTTCCATGTACCGAGAATCAGAAAGTTTTGTTGGCTACCTACACCTTAAAGGGCAAAGCCCGACATTGGTAGATGCTTGTCCGTGATAGCAGTGGAGTGGGACTTTGACTTGCGATCAATTCAAAGAGATTTTCTATGAGAAAAGAAAAGTGTCTGAGTTCCAAGAGCTTAAGCAAGGCAACATGTCAATGGCTGAGTATGAGGCCAAGTTCACTGAATTAGCCCGTTTTCCCCCACACATGGTAGATACAGATTACAAAAAAGCTCAAAAATTCGAAGGAGCGTTGGACCTAGGTGTGTTTGATTAGGTAGGTGTCTTAAAACTGCCCAAATATGTGGATGTATTTGATAAAGCTTTAATGGCTGAAGCCAACTTGGCTACAATGAAACAAAGGAAAGCTCCAATAACTGAATGGAAAGGCAAGAGATTTGGGTATAAGTTCAAAAGGCCCGTTTATTTGTCACGAATAAGAAGCAAAACACGGGATCTACCAATAGTTCAAGTCAGAGTAGTGGATCCACGCTTGTTTGTTCTGAGTGTGGAAGAAAACATAAGAGTGTTTGTTATCGTGCATCTGGTGCTTGCTTCCGGTGTGGCAAGGTTGGCCACATGATGAAAGATTGCCCACTCACAACTGAAAACACGAACTGTCCTGCGGCAAGTTCGGTCGGATCTGTTTTTGCACCAAGATCAAATGTAAGAACTAATGCTGGAAAAGAACCCTTAAGGCAAGGTAGAGTTTTTGCACTTGTGCCTGGTGACGTCCAGAACACTAAATCCGTGGTGTCAGGTATCTCCCTATTTGTGCTCAAAATATGTATGTGCTGATAGATTCTGGTTCTACACATTCATTCGTGTTGCATGCTTTTTCTCGAAAATTGACTAAACCACTAGAACCTATGAATTATTGGTTATCTATAACTACATCTTCTGGGGAGTTTTATGATGTATGCTTGTGTGTATCCTGCATGTGGCATCATGATTAGGGATGTGATATTATATGTTGATTTGCTGCCATTGGACATTACTTATTTTGATTGCATATTGGGTATGGATTGGTTGACTAAGTACTGTGTGACTATTAATTGGGTGAATAAATCTATTGTCTTCCGACCACCTGGCTTATCTGAATTTGTGTTTGCTAGGAATGGGATAGTTCCATCTCCGTATATGATTTCTGCTTTGAAAGTCGTCAAATTACTTAGGAAGGGATGTAGGGGTTATTTGTGCAATTTTATAAATGTGACCTCTATTAGTCCTAATGTGGAAGCTATTCCCGTAGTTACTGAATTTCCTGATGTGTTTCCAAATGAGTTACCCAATGATCTAATTGATAGGGAAATCGAGTTTACGCTTGAGGTAGTACCTAGAACATAACCTATTTCTAGAACCCTTACAGAATATTAACCTCAGAACTGAAAGAATTGAAAGTCAAGAACTGTTAGATAAGAAATTTATTCGTTCGAGTACTTCACCTTAAGGTGCTTCAGTTCTGTTTGTTAAAAAGAAATATGAGTCTTTAAGGTC